GGGCATATAGACCTTAACATGGCAAGTCCCATACAAATGAATAAGGAAAAGACAAATCTCTGTAGTTACACCTTCAGATCTTCTGTTAGTAGTATACGCATGAAAAACTCCATCTGGGTAGAAATTGAAGCCAGGGCAGAGAGTGAGCGTGAAGTAGGAGTCATGGTGGGCATAGAGCCATGGCAATGAGACTTCAGATTTTATTTTTCTCACTTGCTTATTTCTTTTGCTTTATGGCTAATTGGATTTGACTGCGGATAGGAAAGGGCTTTGAGACCTGCAACCAAAAGCTGGAAGGGTGGTAATGAGTCTCAGCATGGCTTCCTTCCTGTGTAAGAAAAGATGTAATATACCAAGAAAAGATGCCAACTATTTGAATTGCTAAGTGATGTTTCACATTTTTGTTATCTTTTTTGGAAAGTTTTGAAAGCTCACATTAGTGTTCAGAAAATCTGAATGCTATCATTGCTACAGAGCAAGCCTCCAAACACAATGGATTTTTGCTTTTATAATTTTAATCACGTAGTGCTATAAATAATTCCTCCTTCGTTCTATTCTCTGTGGTGTCATTTATGTGTCTCTTTCATACCAATGATCTTTCCTCTCCTTTTCAAAATGGGAGATGTGTTAATGGAAAGCAGTTCTCACTGGACAGAGCAGACCAGAATAGGATGGTGACGTTTATTATTTTACTGCTCTTAGTCATGTTCCAGATACTTGAGGTCTCTCAGTCTAGGCCCACAGAGAAATACTGAATGCTGTGAATTCATCTTGGTTAATTATGTGGATGAGAATAATTAAGATTTTTTTTCAGAGTTTGTTACGCGTGTCCTGTTTCAGTTATTTTTGATAAAAGGTAGGGTGATGAGTTTAGGTCAGTAATCTGGAAGGTAATTGAAGGAGGAGAGGAAGAACACTGGAGTAGACTAAATTTTTCCAATTAAGCTTGAACATCATGGTACTGAAAACACAGGCCATTCATCAGAACATTCTCTAGTTACCAAACGGAGAATCCTACATTAATTGTCAAGTAGGAAAATCATATTTTTTTAAAAAAAAGTCTTTTAACTCTTAAGTCCTTCTAATTCTTATCTAAATCTAGTATTTAGAAAATTGTGGGCCAATGGGACATAGATTTCCTAGCTGCCACTGGCCCTCACGTTAGAACTTAGTGACCTAGATATAGTCTGGGTGGCCAGGGTGGATGCCTCAGAGAAATGACAGATCCAGAAACTCCATGATGAATCAGGTATGTTTGCCAGACCCAAGTACAACATCGTGCCATGGTTGCCTCAGCTGCTTTCTGAAGCAATTATCTAAAAATATTCCAGTCATATTCAGTATCAGATGCACCAAAATAAGCCCTAGATATTTTTAGGCATTGCTGATGACTTTTCAAGGTGGGTGACATTCAGATGTTTTTATATCCATGACTACTAGATGACATGATCTAAACATTCTGCCTCACTGGCATTTCTCTATGCTCAGCCTTATTGTTAATCATTCTGTGTGTATTAGTATATTGTGTATATTGATATATTGTAAATACTGATATATTAACATGGTTGTAAACATGAATTGCATAATTGTTTTTGTTTAAATATCCCAACAAAAACAGATAATGCTGGTGGTTCACGTAAGGAAATTCAGGTGAAGCAATCAGGAACGCATTCGTGTACTTCTCTTAAGAAGCCTGTCATAAACATGGAAAAGGAACTTTGAAAATGCAACTTGCCAAATGGCTTTGAAGAAGTGAGGCCACTCTCTTTTGTCATATGACAGTGGCAAAAATCGCACAGTTGAAACAGCTGTGTTTCAACAGTAGATAAATTAAAAGTAGTATCTGTCCAAAAGTTGGCTAAAGAATATTTCTTCAAGTTGATTCAACAACCACTTACTAAACACCTGTTGAAAATACACAATTAGCTAAATTAGTATAGTATGGGCACTCTAACTTTAAAGGTACAGTTAAATGTAATTCTCCATGATGAGTGAGTGGGTAGTAATTGTGAAGAAGAAAAATCATGTTTTCTTGAAATGAGGGTTTGGTGTTAAGCTACTCAGCTACTTCAGTTTGAAGCACTTACCTGTTGCTGCCATGTCTATGCTTCTGGCAAAAATAAAAACCAGGCTGCTGTCCTGAAAGACTAATTATCTAATTAGACTTGGTTATTCTACATTACTATATGCACAATATTCTTCCAACTGGAATTATTCATGTTCAAGACTATGTCATTAAGTCTCATTTGACTTCTGAGATGTCAGTTTTCAGCCATACTTGTCATTTTTTTAAAAGGTCAGACATTTTATGTGCATTTCTAGCTCCAGAGACTTCCTTGTTATACTTCACAGTTTCAGATAGATAATATTTAGGAAGAGAATTGGTCATAACTTCCTGGGAATGTGTTCAGAATTCTATGTTATCTGAGTTAGAGAGCTAAATGAGGTGGTGATTTAACAAAATGTAGATAATATACCTTTTGTCATGCATTGTAATGAGACTATTTATAAATACAAGTTTGTAAACATAATTTTGGCAGTAATGGGGTTTGACTTTAGGGCCTCACACTTGCTAGAGCATATGGTCTATCACTGAAGCCACACTTCTAGTTCTTTTTCTTTTTTAATAAGGTCTTATGGGATTATAGGCACACCTGTAAGAATACTTAGCTGATAAAATATAGTTGTTAGGAAACAGTTCTAAAAAGCAGTACTGATAGTTGTGGAAGTGTTGCATAAAAAAGAATTACTTTTGTGAATAATGGAATAATGTTTCTTTGTTGTTTTGGTGTTTTATTCAAACTCCCAAAAGAGCTAATCATCATGTCATGACCATGGTAAATTCCTAAGACTTCTATGGAACCTATTGGAAATTGTGGGAAATATAAAATAGCCTGTAGGCTTCATTATGTAACTAATTGGTAAATAAAGATGGAAACAATGGTCAAATGGGAGACCTCAAGAGCCTGTCAATGTCATGTGAGCAGAGTCCAGCACTGCAGAAGTGGCTTGCAAAGGATCTTCACTTTATAAAGGATTTTTGACTGAAAGAAGCAATGATGTTTTCTAGGAGTTACAGCAGACTCTACAGCAGTAGAACCTTCTCAGTCACCTGGCAGATGTCCACCATGGGGTCAGAAGTGACTGTAATATCTGGTATTAGTTATTAAGCATTCTAGCACTTTATTAATTTTGGAGTAAATTGTATTTTTATAGTCTGGGCTTTTATTAATTTTTTGTCAGTCACGGGGCTTGAACTGTGGGCCTGGGCGCTGTCCCTGTGCTCTTCAGCTCAGGGCTAGAGCTCTACCACTTGAGCCACACAGCCAATTCCAGATTTGTGGTGGTTAATTGGAGATAAGAATCTCATGGATTCTGCCTGGGCTGGCTTTGAACTACGATCCTCAGATCTCAGCCTCCTGAATAGCTAGGATTATGGGTGTGAGCCCCAAGCGCTTGGCTAGTCAGTGCTTCTTATAAGTAAACAATCAGCCTTTAAACCCAATGAAGTGATTTTCCTAGTTTTTTTTTCTGAATATGTTAACAACTGAGACTTTTCTTACCCATGAATTAACTCAACATTTATGCAGAATTAGTATTCTCTCAATATTGGTTTTAGTGACTTTTGTTTATCTTAACAATTAACTCTATCATATCAGGTTCTAGAAGCAGCATTTATTAAGATGTAAGAGTAGCAATACATATGTATATATAAATCTAGGACAATGACAATGCTGTTATAGCTCCATAATACAGTATTACATTTAGCCTGGAAAGTAAATGTTTAAATTACTTAGCTACATATGTCTCATTAATTAAAAGTTGTCTAGAAAGACATACTTTTTATTACTAAATTACCTTCATATTAATAAATTGGCTAGACTAGGTTTTAGAAAATAATTGTGAGGCTTTTGCTATATTTACCAAATAGGGTAAATTTTCTTGTTATAAGGACAAAAAATACTGTCTTTAATGCAACTGAATATATCTGGGAAATTTTATCGAAATACGAATATTTATTTTTACTAAAATAAAAGTATATATTTTCACAAGACATAGCTCATTTTAATGTAATTTTGTAAGCCACATAGCTTTTATAAGAAAAATATTGTTCTATTGATTTAAAAATAATTGTCTAGTGAGAGTCGTTGTCCTTCATAAAGGCATATTTAAAGCAGCAAAATACTTTTTTGCACATTATTATAATCTGGATATCTTCAAATTAAAATGAATTTGTACTACTTTTCATGCATGTCAAATCTGAAAGAATATTTGTATAAGTTAAATTTTTGTTTTAATATGAAGGCACAATATATAAAAATGGACATTTCAAACAATGTATTCATCGTTTATTAAGAATGAATAATCATAATTAACAAAAATATAGAATATTGTTGAAGCCTAGTAGAATTGTAGCTCAATCAATTAAACTTAGGCTTTAGAAATTAGGTTGCTCTTTATTACATTCATGTGTTAGAGTTATATGATTTTTTCTTTATATTTGATATATAAAATAGTATCCTCCTGCATTCATCAAAATGCAGAAAGTAATGCTTATTTTACATAATAATTTATCTTAGCCTTTGAAGTATTTAAAGCACAATAACAGTAGTTTATATATTTCTTTCTAAAAACAAAATTAAGAAAATGCTACCATTTTTAAGTGAGAGGCTTTACAATATACTGCCAATTAATAGAGAAAATTTGTTATAGATTATCATTAAATTACAAAATCTTTGATACATTTTAGCCACAGCGTCACTGAGTTGTCTTCTTCCTAAATGTAGCTATTACAATTTATAAAAGAGACGTTTGTTTTCCCTTAAAATTATATAAATATTTTATTTTTTGATGTTAATGAATAAAATTTACCAGTATTCCCCACTTCTTCCCACCATGGATCCTTGTACCAGTCTTTGGCTCTCAGACAACCAAGATTAAAGTAATACAAACCCATAAGATCCCTTTCAAAAATAGGTAATCAAGGAGAAATATCATCTTCAAAATGGATTGAGTCGTATTCCAGTTCCTAAAGGTGAAAATGGATTCACCTTTGCCCACATCAAAGCATCATTCAGTGAGATAGCCGATTTTCCATCTTCAAGGAAATATACAGGGCCCTGGAAACAGCAAAACGTTGGGAAAGAGAAGATGAGTTGGTAATTTTCAACATCATTTTAAACTTCCAGAAACAGAATCACTGCAATGAGAAACACCTAGTGACTTTTTTTGTGGGGGTGGGGGGCGTCCTTCGTGGGGCTTGAACTCTGGGCCTGGGCGCTGTCCCTCAGCTCTTCTGCTCAAAGAGAGCACATTTGAGCCTTAGGGACACTTGTGGGTTTTTTGGTGGTTAATTGCAGATAAGAGTCTCCCGAATGGGTTGGGAACGTGGCTTAGTGGTAGACTGCTCACCTCACATGCACAGTTGCATATAAACAGAAAAAGCCAGAAGTGGAGCCATGGCTTAAGTGGTAGAGCGCTAGCCTTGAATAAAGGAAGCTCAGGGACAGTGCCTGGGCCCTGGGTTCAAGCCTCAATTAAAAAAAAGTCTCATGGACTTTTTTCTGCCTGGGCTGGCTTTGAACCATGATCCTCAGATCCCATATCCTCAGATCATGCATCCTCAGACTCCTGAGTAGCCACAGGTGCCCAGACCCCATGTGACTTTTAAGCAACTAAATGGAATTTAAGAATATGAGAATAGTTTGGTTTGTTTTCAATGCTGCTAGCTATAGAAATATTTTCAAATACAATTGTATTACACCACTATTACCTGATGTCTAGCAAAATATAATTTAATTTTACAATTTAAATTATATATGGTAATACTATCAACAATAGTCATTATTAGTTAATTAACTGCCACAAAGAAAATGTATTTTGTAAAGGTCTATAGCCTAATAATAGCTTTAAATATAGTCTCTCCTTTACTTTAATCATGTGGCAGTCACTCTTTTACTTTAATCATGTAGCCAATGTTGACATAGTTGGAGAAATTATTGAAGCCGGGATCTTTGATCTTGCTGTTTAGAAGATAATAAATGGATATATATGTATGTATATACATATATATGTATATACATATATATGTTTTGTTTTGTTTTTTTTGTAATGGGGCCTGAACTCGGCCTGGGAGCTGTCCCTCAGCTCTTCAGCTCAAGGCTAGCACTCTACCACTTGAGCCACAATGCTACTTCTTGGCTTTTTCTGCTCATGTAGTGCTGAAGAATTGAACTCAGGGCCTCATGCATGCAAGGCAAGCACTCTACCACCGAGCCACCTTCCCAGTCCATAAATGTATATTTTTATGAGTCTTTAAAGAACTTTATATTTATTCTCATGATTTAAAGGATATTTATACTTTATCTGTATCAGCTATTATACATATCCTGAATAACTATGCAAACAATATTACCTGGAAACACATGGCTAAAAGAAGCAAAAATTTAAATTTTCTCAACTAGGTTATAAATCAATCATAGTTTCATAATGGTATTAAAAATATACTTGTTAACAAATTAATTTTAGATATTGGGAAGACTATCACAGTTGTAGCTAAATACATTCAAATTTGTACGTGGAATTTAGTAATAATAGCTTACATACATTAATTCCTTGTTGAAATAGGAATTTCCTAGGAGGGAGCAATACATCTCCATTAACATGAAAAATTAGGAAATCATTTCCTGAGTGTAGGTTTGGAACAGAAAGGTTAGCTGACTGAATGAATGGTCATTTGGCTATCGTAGGTAGAGAAAAGGAACATGATGTCCCATGTATCAAAATGGCACAGGATGGAGAGTGAGTGGACTAAAGATATACTCCAGAAATTACATAACTTGTCACTCTTCATTATGTAACTGAATTTACTGCTTGGATTCCTTATGAGCCTAAGTGAATAATAAAAGTTATATACAATTATGTGCCCTAAATTTTGGCACGCACTGCTGTTTGTTTTATGAAGACTGACTCACAGTGGCCAGATACTTTCTTCAATGGCCTGTCATGTGTGAACACTAGTTAGAAAGGTTTTTTCCAACATAACATTACAAATATGAGGTAAGTTACTGGGCAGTGGAACTTGTTTAGTCTGAGCCATATTCTCAAGTAGTACCTCAAATGGTTCATTTTTGTTTACTTCATGAGGACTCCTATAACTAGTGCAGGCTCCAAGCTGACGGAGATTTCTCTACTGCTTGAAGATAATTACACTTCTGGATTCCAGTGAGAGTCTCTGGCATCTTTCGTAATCATCAATTTGAATGGAACATTAGGGACCAGTCTTTGGGAATTACTTATTCCCATGATGGTTCCCAATGCTTTTGAACGGTTGAAAGCTCAGAAACTCATTGTAAGAACATGCATAATATGGTAATTTGTCATATATCTTTTTATTTTTTTGTATTTATACAACACAAATAAAAAATGTTACTGTTGAGATTGTCCCTTTGTCTCTCTAATTTAATACCTCTCAGGATATGATCTATACGTATTTTGAAGCACATTTGTAACTAAGCATACATTTTTCATATCGTTTAGTTATTACATGAATTGCATCCATGATAACACTTTAAGACTCTCTCTCACTTTCTCTCTCTCTCCCTGAATTTAAAGAGAGAATCTAATTTACACTATCATGGAAAATACTAGAAGGCATTGTTTTGGGGCCAGGCCTCATGCCTCTTCACAGTTACTTACAGCTGATTTCAAGCCATGAGCTCTGATCTCAGCCTCCTAAGTGTTTTGGATTACAGCCTAGGTATGAGCCACCAGCACCTGACTGTTACCTACTTTTACAAGTCTACGATTCATTGAAGATAAAATATCAAAGAGAAACACACAAATAGAGGAAATGCACACTTTATGTCTAACAGATTGTACCTGTATTTTTAATCCTGTAAAACAAGAGATGTGAATATCAGAATGACTGGGAAGATTTGATCCAGTCACATAATCTGGTCCAATAATTCCTGCAAGTGGTTCTTCTTTCAGTCTCTTCAGCAAAGTTGCGTAAACTGTTCTTTGAGAATCAGAAGGAGGTGTGTATGAAGAATCTTCTGATCTATATTTTCAACAGATGTTAAAATTTCATTTTTGTAGAATCAAGAATGGAGACTGATTAGAAATAGACTAATGATTACTAAGTTTTCCTTTATAGATGGAGGCAAATTAAGTTGAGACCAAAGAGATAGAAAAACAAAGACCTTAGAAAAAGGCCTTTTAAGGAGCATCATCATTGAATACACGCTAACAAATCAGCATTTATTATTTTGCTAAAATGGAGAAAGTGACACTCTGCCAATGATTCTATTGATAGTAGTAAATTCCTCTATAGTTCAATTGTTATGTCAAATTAACTCACTGGTTGCTGAGCTGTGTGCAAGCTCTCCATGCATCCAGTTCCTCAGAAAGATGCTCAAGTTTTAAAGGTACTGACACCATTCGCCGTTTTAAGAGCTGGCTGAAATGTAAAAAAAGATATTAACATCTGACATAAAAAAATAAATGCAAAAAGCAAATGGATCTTAAATAATTGTGGCTTTTGATGTGACAATGATTGTTCAAAATACATATGGAAATATAACTATATAGGCACAAGCCCATATACACATATGCTCCCTTACTTATTTAGAATTTAGGTCCCTGGAAAGCCTCGCATACTTAAGGAACACTGGTTTGACGAGTGACTGAGTATGTAAGTAAATGAGCTGTATAATGTATGGAGAATGGTTGACAAGCCCAGAAACATTGAGTAATGACCACAGTGAGTGAGAACATTTAAACATGACCCTGATCATTGAATCTTTGATGGCACAGATAATGGCACCATTAAAAGAAGAAAAGTGCAGGAAAAAGAGATATGAGAGGAAAGATGATTTTAATTTTGAGAAGACTGAATTAAGGTCAGGGTTTAGCCAACTGCTATATAAACACAGATGATATGTAATATCTAGATATAAAATGGAGTTATTTTTCACAGAGGGAATAGGAAAAACAAAAATGTCAATGTTTCTGGAAGAAAAAAAGAGAAGGAAGAGAAGAGGAATAGAGACATGGGGAAAAGGGGAGGAAGGGAGACAGGAAGGAAAAGGAAGAATTGTCATCACCAAGAAGTTCTTTAAGTTCTTAACCTTTTATTTCTTTGTTTCCTTCAACTTAAGATGCACTGTCGTGACTCCCTCCTACCTTTCAAGTAAGAGTCCATTGTTTTATTCTCCTTATTAATTGAAGCAACAATTTTCTAATTACTTTTTATCATTACTGATTACAAATAGCTGGACATATATCTCTCATATTATTCTTACATATTATTCTTGCATTTTAAGATTGTTGAAAGTTGCTTTTCAATTTTGATTGCACTGCTAACCAGCATAGATATAAATTTTCCCTGAATAACCTGAAAGTGGTAATTCTATATTATTGTTTCAGCTCTATTAGCTACCAGCTATTTTTTTACCAGAGGGAAAAGTTAGAGATGATAAAGTTTGAACAAGTTTAGGGAACCAAAATACACTGTTGGTGGGAATATAAACTTGTTCAACTACTCTGTAAAGCAGTTTGGAGGTTCCTCAAAAGATTGAACATAGGCCCATATGAGCCAGCAATTCTACTTCTGGACATTTATCCAAACGATGACAAAGAAGGATACAATAAAGTCATCAGTACAACTAACACTACAGCATAATTCACCATAGACAAGGTATGGGATCCGCTCAAATGGCCCTAAATGGATGAATGGATCAAGGAAATGTGGTATATATACACACAATGAAACTTCACTCATACATTAGAAATAATAATAATATATCATTTGCAAAGAAATGGAAAGAACTTTAATACTGTCATGTTATGGGAGGTAAGTCATCCCCAGAGAGAAAAAGGTTGCATATTTTCCCCCATATATGGAAGGTAGAATTAGTTTACAAACATTAATTGTTACATTTGGTGGTATGCAAGTGTCTACAAGTCTTTGAACTGAAATATGGTAGATTCAAGGGGGAACTCAAACAGAAGAGTTCCTTAGAAAGGCAAAGTCAAAGTTAACAAAGTTAAACACCAGGAGACAGGTACTTGAAAGGGGTAGAATGGGGTGAAGGGGAGAGAGAATTAGAGGAAAAGGGTAGGAGAATGCAAAAACCCCATGTATAGTCTACACAATTCAGAAGAGAGGGAAGGAGTGGGTTTGGAGGTGTGGATGAGAATGTTGAAAGGTGTGACATTGATCAAGGCATATTGCTACTTTAAATGCCAACTCCTTTCTGCAATTACTTAAAGAAAATAAAATAGTTTTTTAAAGGAAGCTTTCTATTTCTCTTGTAATCTTCTGCCCCCAATAAAAACCACTCGGAAAATATGCTTATGCCCACACTCAGCATCAGGAAATTATAAGGTCATTTACTGTGCTGTTTAGTAAACTAGCTGACTTGGAAATGGGTTTTTAAGGAAGATGCTGAATTTATTATTCTTCACTTTTTGTGACAGGGTCTCACTATGAAACCTGGGTTGATTTTAAACCTACTGGGTAGCCCAGGCTGGTCTCAAACTCAACATCCTTCTGTGTCAGTCTTGAATATCACTTTTGAGAACAACATATTTTAAGCATAGTGGCTGAAATTCAGCAAGCTGTTAGAAAATGTAGGAAACTGTCTGAAACACTTAAGTCTTGAGTATAAAAGTTACCTGCTGGTCACATATACCTTTCATTTTCTACTTTTCCACCATAGTGACTGGAAAGTAAGCATAGTGTACATCTTATTTTGAAGGAAACATTACACAATTATGTCCACTGAAATGCAGGCATGAATACCTAAGGAGGAATTTCCTTCCTGAATAAAATGGTCTTGCCTGCAGAAAGTGGTTTGTAGTCTCTATCCTTCACCCTTGCCTCTATCCTGCTTGGAGAATGGATATAGTATTTGGAGATTTAGCAGCTATCTTGTAATCATGAAGAAAGAATCCAAGAATGTCAGGGTAAAAAGTAGGAAGAATCTAGGACTTTAAAAGAATCAATGAACAGTTTCAACAGTACAAGAATACCTATCTGAAATTTCCTCACATATATGACCAACATATCCACCATGTACATAAACTAATAATAGAATTTTCATCATTTATGGTCTAAAGTCATCTTAATTAATATAATTAATTTTTCCTTATTGCAATTATACATGGAACAAATAATACTATAGTAATATATTTATTGCCTTCTGATTCAATTGAAGGCTATCCATCTTGGCAAAACAAATTTCTCTAATTTTATGATAGAAGTATTCTTTTTACCTTGTGTATTCATAAAGTGCTGGAACAATGCTTTGGTACTGTCTCCTGATAGCCAATAATGCACCAATATAACCACATAGTATTAATAACTCATTTCGAGCTCTAAAAGAGAATACACATATATTTTAGCTCTACAATTTGGAGTAAACATATTCTTCTTGTATATAGTTCATGTACTTTTTAGACATTTGTGCTACATGATATATTTTAATGGAAAATAAAGCTATTAAGTAGGATTTAACACTTCCTTGCTTGTTTTTCACTACTCCTGATTGTCTTCGTTGGTTTTCTTTTTTTTTGGGGGGGGCACTGCTATTCTAGGACTTGAACCCAGTTTCTCACACAAACTATGCAAATATTGCTCTATTATTGACTCATACCCCCAGTCATCTTCTGGCTTTTTATGTTATTTATCTTTAAATTACTCCTTTTGTCAGAGTTAAGAATTCATAGCAAATTGTGTAAACTGTAGGAAATGACAAAAATTATCTACTCTATTGTATGTTGAAGGTATTTTCCAGGTTTCCAGGCTGCTGTCTTATCATTTTTATGTATTGAAACAAAAATAAAAATCCTGAATATCTTCCTTCAAAATATATCCACATCTCCTGAGCTTTGGTTACATGAACAGCAATGTCTTTAAGTAGTATTTTGTGTGTGTGTGTGTGTGTGTGTGTGTGTGTGTACACACGCGTACTGGTACTGGGACTGGAATGCAGGCCTTGCAAAAAATTCTTGCTAGGTATTTTCAATTATCCACCCTCGAGATGCACCTCCAGTCAAGCTTTCTTTTGGGTTAATTGTAGATGGAGTGGCTTTGAACTGCCATCCTCCAGGTTCAGTCTCCTGAGTAGCTAAGGTTACGGTGTGAGCCATCAGTACTAGGATGGTACTTAAGAACAGTACTCATTTCTGCTTTCTATCCTGTGTGTTTCCCTCCATCATACTATGACTATTTCATAAATATGATATTTATTTCTTGAGAATTTGATATCTTCAACCATCTAGAAACTGATGAATTAGCCTTTGTTGATTCAGGTGTGTATGTGTGTTCAAGTGTCTATACACACAAATATATAAGCTCACACACTAAATATTACTGAATAACACTGCAAATATTTACTATACATTTCCAGCTGACTTCTGAATTTTTATTAAGAATATTTCAAAAAGTCAAATGTAATTATTCTTCAAGTGTAACCACTGCCCCAAACAATACTCTTTCTTTATCTCAGTACCGTTTTAAAACATTGCATTGACTCAAAAAGTACTCACTCGGTACATGCATGCATGATTAACTTTTCAGTTCGAATATAACTCAGTAGGTCAAGTGCAGGGTAGATGGTGTCCAATGTCCAATTTGAACTACTGATGTATTCTGGCAAAATAAGACAAAGATGCTTCAAAATAATGGTTTCAAAAGTTGTTCCTCCAATTATTGTGTTCTACAGTTAATTCCTTGCCACTCTACCCTGTCTCTATACAGTATTTTCTATTCACTGTCTCTCAATTCCCCATACCATAAAATCAGAAGGGATGCCATATTTTCATATCAGTAATCTCTCTTTTGAAAATCTAGGACAGCAAGTACTAATTATACAAATGAGTGAACAGACCAAATAGATGTGAACTTTTTAAAATTATACTACCAGCTAGAAACTTACCTTTGACAAAGTCAATACCAATAGGAAGAGCTTTCTCAGGCTCTTGACTTAGTAGGTAATACTTTATAGTTTCAAATACATTGCCATCTGCATGGGCTGCCTCAGCTAATTGCAGACATTCCTCTACTGTGGGTAGCTTGCACTAGAAAATAATTGATTTAATAGCAATTTACTAAGATATATTGGGACAAAATCAGTTGAATAAATATTAAACATTGCCATATACCCAGTTTCTTTCACTTTATTAGAGTTGCCCAGAATCTGCTGAATTAGTTATTTTTAAAATAAATATACAGACAAAAGCTACATCAGCATTCATGGTAAATATGACAGTTCAGCATCACATGTCTGTCTTCTACATTGTAAGTTCACCTACCCTCCAGGCCAAGGCACCTTAATTCAAGGAGGCTAGAAATGTCAGGCTCTAAAATTGAACACATTTTGGCTCATGAAATTTCATTATTACAGTATGAAAATAAATGTATATTAAATTTTTTACTGTAAAAAAAAGAAAATATAAACAAAGCCAGGTATTGTTGGCTTGCACTGTAATCCTAGTTTCTGAGGAGGATCTGAGGATTATAGTGCAAAGCTAGCCTGGGCAGAAAAGTTCCTGACACTCTTACTTTCATTCTCAAATAGAATAGGAGAAATTCTTTTCCTGTGTTAGAATCCCCAAAATTGTTTACACTAACATCATTTTTGTACATTCCTTGTGAAACTGTACAATCATTAACATGTTTGCAAATATTCATTCATCTTTCCAAAGAGCTCCACATTTAAGAAGAAATTGATCATATGTTTTTCAGAATATATAATAAAGACAAGGTGAATACTGTTCTTGCCCAGGTCTTTGGGATAGGTCTATGGTAAAACGTTATAGAAGGATGAAGTTCTGAATATATTTTAGCTGCATGGAAATATACTGATAATTAATAGCATATATTTCAATATAGATCAAAGACTTTAAATGATCTTGCCACAAAGGAATGATAAGTATTTCAAGAAATAGGTATATAATATCTCTGGCTTGATTTTTCTACCATTATTGGCTATAAGAAAGTATCACTTTTACTCTATAGGTATATACAACTATTATTTGCCAACTACAAATAAATAATATGCCATGTGTTGGTGGCTAATGCCTATAATACTAGCTATTCAGGAGGCTGAGATTTGAGGAATGCAGTTTGAAGTCAACCCAAGCAGATAAATCTGTGAGACTCATACCTCCAATTAAACCAGCAAAAAGTCAGAATTGGAGCCAGCTTGAGTGCAAATGTCAACATGAGCACAAAGCCCTGTTCAATCCCCTGTACCGTTAAGAAAAATAAATAGTAAATTCTGTATAGATTTATGTTATTTAGCCTCTGTAAGTGTTCATTTTAACATCCTTATTCTTTGCTTAAGGGAACATTTTAGCATACAAACACTACAGAATGATTGTACAATATAAAGAAAACCCTCCTACCTCCTTCCATATCCACTGTAGTTTCAACGTAAAATTTGCAATTACGTTTACAAACCAATTTTGTAACATAGGTATATACAGGAATTAAAATCTCTCTTACTCTTAGATTCTACTGGTTAGATTAACTTTGGACACTTACCCTATCTCAAGTACATTCCCTTATTTCACACACACATACACACATACACCTACACACCTATCCAGATATTTTACCTGTATACACTTTTTATCTATATCTATGAATACAACATTCAATAAGTGTATACTGTTCAATGAATAGGGCCACTTACTTACACTTACTTACACTTACTTACTTACACTTACTTAATTTTTCTTATAGGCATTTCAATAGCTATTCTACAAAAAGTGTGTTCATTCATGGTAATTTTAAAATGAGATTATACATGTATGGGTAGTTTTTAAAACTTTCTATTTAACTATATTTTATGGCCATTTACTCTTATCCATAGAAACAGTCTTGTGATATTTTTTAGGTACTAGTAGCACAAAAGTATAGGAATATGCTAGAAGTTTTATAAACTATCTTCCTACTGTTAGACATTTTTATTTTTATATATAATGTTAATATATAGATTACTATATTTTATAAAGGCATAGTTTTTAATAACTTTAGAATAACGTACAAGGTTTGCATTGTGTCATGAATGTTTTTCAAGATCTAACGTCATCTGTTTTGAAAAGCTATCATATACCTCCACTCAGATGCAGGCATCTGGGATATAAGAGACTTACTAAAATTTTACCCCACCTTTAAATCATTTGAGCAAGTTTGTTTCTTCTACGAGTTTGTATTCTTTGTAAAGTAAAACCTAAAACCTTATTTTTCATGCTTCTATAGATTTATGAATTATGATTAATTTAAAATATTTGCAAAACCTTAGAAAAAAGACAAATAAATGTTACTTCTTAATGATATCATTTTTGCTGAATTTTTAAGTAAGCCAAAGGGACCACATATTTGTATTTTCCTGCACATTTATGTTTTTGCTTGAATATAAAATTAATTATCTCATGACACTGTATTACAAACTGATCTGTACTATCATTGCCTACCTTTTTATGGAGATCATTTATTTCTTCAGTACACCCTGGGTAGAAAGCACAGAGTTTTACTAAATGCAGTTCACTGTCAGGAATCATCAGGAGGAGATCAGCTGCCAAATTCCTGTTCATATAGTAAAAAGAGAAACTTTTAATGAGGAAATACTCTAAAAATAACATAATTTTCAAAAGAGGGCTTACACATGTTAAAGTACTAAACAGTAAAATATCTATAGATACTTTTTGTATAAACCTCTCAAATCACTGGTTTTAGATTGTTTCATGATAACTGGGAAAAAAATCCCACAATTTTCAGTAATTCAAGCTATTGTTTAGTTTTCAAGAATTTCATATGTTAACTGTCAGCCTGAGTTTAGAGTAGGTGATATTTCAAGTGAGAATTTATAAGGCTGTGAATGAGGGACTCTAGAAAAGGAAGCTCTTCAGCTTGCTTGTGAAGACAAAGTAAAAATCATGTTAGTCATTAATGTGAATACATCATTTTATTTTAATGTGAGAAAGACTTAAGAATATAAAGACAACCATTAGGTGTAGTTTGAAACTTCTGGTGTAAATCCAAAATTAAAAGAAAGACATACACATCAAACTCCTAAAATAGTAATATTTTAAATTAGGCTTATGTTATGATTTTTAGAATAAAATGTGAGCTATCACATTAGAAATATTAGTATTGGCCAGGTAAATCCTTGTTTAATAAGACATATAGAGTAGTTTACTTGTTCTTTCTAAAAACTGTGAAAAATAGAATGTATTTTGTAATACCAAAATCTTTTTTTTTTTTTTTTCGGTTGTGGGGCTTGAACTCTGGGCATGGGTGCCATCCCTCAGCTAGTGCCACTTTTGGTTTTCTGGTGGTTAATTGGAGATAAGAGTCTCACAGAATATCCTTTGAACTGTGATCCTCAGATCTCAGCCTCCTGAGTAGCTAGGACCAGGCATGAGCCTTCAGTGCCTGGCTAATACCAAAATCTTTTTTTTTTAATTGTGAAAATACTGTACAGAGGAGTTACAATTACATGGGCAAGATAATGAGTACATTTCTTATCAAGCATTGTAGCCTCCTCCTTTGTTTCCCCTTTCCATCCCTTCCCATCCTCCCCCTGTCCCCCCATCTAATCCCTCCCCCACCAAAGTTGTAAAGTTCGTTTTTTTTTTTGTTTTTTTTTTTGGGGGGGGTGTCCGGTTGTGGGGCCTGAACTCTGGGCCTGGGTGCTGTCCCTCAGATCTTCAGCTCAAGGCTAGCGCTCTACCACTTGAGCCACAGTGCCACTTCTGGCTTTTTTTCTTTTTGCTTATGTGGTGCTGAGGAATCGAACCCAGGGCCTCAGGCATGCAAGGCAAGCGCTCTACCACTGAGCCACCTTCCCAGCCCTGTAAAGTTTGTTTTTGACATAACGACTTGTACATCTCATTGTTGCAATGGGTTCACCTGTATCCCTATTTAAATGATTTGTTTTTCCCCTTCCCCTCCACAAATTATACCGACATGAAATACAGTGAAAGCAGGGGTTATACAGGGAGGGACATACAAAGCAACAAAGAAATAATCTTATAAATGTTAATACCAAAATCTTACTGCACTGAAAATAATGTGCATGATATATAGTGATCAGCCTTGCTAAAACTATATTTTAACTTCTATCAACCACAAGCAAAATATTGTCACAGATTACAACTACCATAATGAAATATATCATAAGTCTTGATAATTCTACTCATTTTTTAACTCAATATGTTTTTGAAAATTTAGTGTATTATGGGGAGATGTACACTATAGAGATATTTGTGTTTCTGAAATGATAAAGCTGAATCAAATGTTCCAAACTCTTAATTTTAGTCAGAAGAGTGGTTTAGTTTGGTATCAGAATTAGCTATTATTTGATAGCATAGAAAGACACACACAACTTATTGTATGAGAGATTATAAAGCCGTGTACTTAGATTATAAGAACTGTTCTTACAACTCTGTAACTAGGTTTTATTTACTACAAATTATATACTACATATGAATTGATGTACTGTAAAACAAGACAAAGGATTTCTATGATCTGAAGGGAAACTAATGTACAACAATGTGAATAATGTGCACTTATTAAGGTAGATACAACATTTAAATATTCAAAATAAGTATTTAAGTAAATATTGAATATTTAAATAAACAATTCTTACAATTTTTAAAATAAACACACTTAAAACTGGATAGTACCTGTATCCAACAGATGGAAAGCTAAAAGTAAAGTATTAAATATTAATATATTATCAACATAAAGAACAAAATCTTTATCAGTAACTAGATATAGATGACTCATTCTCAATTTGCAAAATTATGAATATTTTTTAAACTGTATACTATTTTTGGTTTACTTTTAATCTTTAGGTATCCATCAAGGCTACAGATTTCTCTTGGAAATTAGCCTAATCATCATGACATATTTCAGAGTTTGAACTTTAGTTTCTGGTAGACATACCTAAGACTATATAAAGGAAGAACTTTGCAGAAGGAGCTATAAATTAATAGAAGTTTTTTTTTTAATGAAAGTAACCACTGACTAAACTGAGATGGACTTACCACATTTGGGATTGGCCTAAGGTCAGTAATTATGACCATGTAACTAAGTATTATAACTTTTGACAGGATAGCTGAGAACTCAGTAGTACATAAGTACGTAAGGCTGATGGTAGGGTAGCACTATATTTTGGGGTCTAACATGATTATAAGATATGAGCCACTACAAGATTACTGAATTCATTCCAAAACTCCAGTATACAGACAAAAAGTACTAAGGCCATCACCACAACCATGTTCATTGCAGTATGATTCACCATAGCCAAGTTATGAAATCAGTGCAGATGCCCCTCAATGGATGATGAATAGATCAAGAAAATGTGGTATATCTACATAATAGAATTTTACTCGTCCACTAAAAAGAATCATGTTGCACTACTGGTAAGGAAATGGAAAGACCTGGAAAAGATTATATTAAGTAAAGTAATTCAAGTCTAGAGAGACAAAAGTTGCATTTTACTTCTTATATGTAAAAGCTAGATTTAGCTTATAAACTTAAAAGTAAATATGTTAGGTGGTAGGCAAGTGTGTACAAATGGATTAACTGAAATATGGTAAATTCAAAGGAAAACTCAAATCGTGTAATTCTTTAGAAAGGCAAAGTTCAGCAAAATAAAGCACCAGGTAATGGGTACTCGAAAGGTAGGTGTAGAAAAATTAAAGGAGAAGAGGGAGAGAAAGCAGTAAAATATTCAAAGAATATTCTACAAAATTAAGAAAAATGAGGGAGGGAGTAGATTGAGAGAGATGGTTGACAGAAGGCAATATTTATAAAAATGCATTGTATTAATAAACTGCTTTGTTAAATGGCAACTGTTTTGTACAACTACTTAAAAGATAATTTTTAAAAAAGCACAATGGAAAGTCTGCCTTTTGCCTAAGTTAGCCACAGATTAAGTGATACATTCTAACACTAAAAATCCACTTTAGAGATACTTTCTGAAGCTTTGAAAAATAGCTCTATCATTTACTGAGATCTGAGGCAAATGAATATCTAACTCATAGGAAGTAATGGTTTATTACTATTACTATTACATGAAGTGCTTTGAATAGTATTTAGCATATAGTAAGCGCTATGCAGGTATTAGTCATCTATCACTAATCACTGTTATTGTTATTAACTGTAGTTTTCAATAGTTACAGTAACCTATACAGTTTTGTCTTAACTCTGATCATATGCTTAGCTACATGATGGAAAAAGGTCAAAATCTTAACAAGGTTTTTTTTTTCGAAACTTATTGAGATCCTAAGAATTTGGGGGAAAGAAAAAAAAATCTAAAGTCATCTTTATTCAGCAACCACCTATTAAATACAAGATACTTTATCATAATGACAGATTTGACACAAGAACAGGGCTGTGCAGATCTGAAGGAGAATTGCTTTGACCTAGATTTTCAATTCGCCCCAGGGTATTTTCTAGGATCTTTCTTATTTTTTTTTTTTTTTTTTTTGGAAGTCTTGTCTAAATTTGGGGAAGGTTCCATTCTATGTCCTCAGCAAAACCTTCTATTTATTGTTTTCTATTACAAAAGTGACTTTATATTTTAAGCCTCAACTAGATACAAGACCTTTTTATAATAAGGGTAGGTATGCAAAATTATAAATGATGTGGAGATTTGTGGTCCTATAATCTTAAGAAGTACATGTGTATTATCTCAAAGCACTTTAAGCACATGAAACATGAAGGAATTGCATTAAGAAGGGCTCATAGTAGCTTCATTACATCATCATGCTAGTTCATTACTTCAGTCTCCTGCCACCATTCCTCCCATTAGTATATCTTTTTATAAAGAGGGATCTCCTGTTCTCTCAGCACATATCTTCTCAAGTGCAACTGACTGTGTTTTTACAATGCATGCTGTAAATAAAAAACGATTCTGTTCATTAAAACAAAAATCTTACCATATTGGAATCATCATGCATTTTCTTGCCAGCAATTCTAGGGCATAGTGGGTTGCTGGTAATGCAGATTCACCTAGCACGGTGCCCACACAGACTGCCAACTCCAGTTCATTTCCTCGGATTAGGTATGCCATAGCAAGCTTGCTCAATAAGAAAATAATTTCTTCAGTTGCATAGATGCTGGGTAGGATCATCATTCCCTTCCAAGCTCATAAAGTAGATAAAGTAGTATTAACCTATAAGTCAATTATTCTTATAAAATATTGATTATAATAGTCCTATAAAGTATCTATGTCAGAGTAATTGCAATGTTGATGGAAAAGATGATAAGGGCACGTACAGGAAAAATGTATCAGTTCAGAATTTAGAAGACTTTATAATTGTTTGATCTACTCTTGTAATGATTTAATAATACAGTGTAACATTCACAATATGTTATTAATTCTATCAAAAAATATAAAATCTTAAAAGCTTCTATGAGACTATACAACAGCTATAAGTTATTCTGAATGTCATTATAAGTATGTATCACATGATAAAAATAAACAAAACAAGAGAACCCATAATCTGTAGTATAGTATACCCATAAACTATAGTATATGTGTGCTAATTTGACACAAAATTATTTAAGCTTAGAAGTATACAAAGCCAGCTCTTACACAGAAATCACCTTATCTTTCTCTCAAACACCATCACACATTTAAGGGTATTGCAGTCATACACCAATTTGAAATGTTGTACCTCGATATTGTCTACAGCTAGATGGCAACATGCAGCTAATACAGCTCGACCATCCTGAAAATACCATTCTGCCAGCTCTTTACTGACTTTGTATAGGAGTCTAGAAAGGAAACAACAACAACAACAACAAAACCATGTATTAACACATAATTCCATCATAAAAATGAAATGAACAAATATTCTTTTTAAAGGTGATAAAGGGACCAAATAGGATGCCATTTACATCCACAATTTAGGTTTAAACTCTAATTTGGAAAAGAAACAAGTCAGAAAGCAGACTTTTTCCAGTGTATGATGTCATCATTCTCTCATCAGTCTCAATCTCTACGGCTGTCAGAAGAAAAGCTTGAGTTTTAAATATCTCCACTCTGCATTGGGAGGTTTGTGACTAAACTACTTGGGCATCCGATCCTTAGAAGAATTACAGGCTGAGATGACATTTTAAAATTATAAGTGGTGTCCAAATCTGTCTTGTGTACATTATTGGGTCTTTAATACCAAGTTTGGAAACTGCAGCAAAAACCAGGAGACATTGTTCTTGGTACCGTGTCTCCTTCTCATTTGGTGATCCTTTCCTACTTCGTGAGCGTTCCAAACATTTATATTTCCTGAGTAGGAGCCAACAAAAGTAGTCAGGGAAGTAGAATTACACTCAGGTAAGTTTAAAAGCATGACAGATTCTAACTTCTGCTTCTTTTGTTAAATATTTGCATTTCTTCTTGAAAAGAGGAATGAATGCTAATCTGTGGTATCAAGGGATTATGGGATTATGGACGTGACTGAAGATTACAGGTACTGACTTTACAGTGAAACACACTTTATTTTCTCATCACTACTTTCCCTTGCCAGCATGGCTTGGTCAGATTTTAAGTATTTAGGGCCTTTTATTGTGTTTTGATTGTCTAAAAGCAATGCATGGAACCAAATCATTGTGAGCAAGACAGTAAGCATAAAGCAGCAGCTCCTCATTATATAGAGGAAAATAAACTAGCTTCCAAAACTAGCCTCTGAATAGTGGAAATCAGCCATAAAAGTATTAACCCCACATAAAGAATAAATCACTCACTCATTAAAGTCTTCCTTGTAGACATCATCCGAATTTGAAGCTCCTTTGTTTGCAGAAGGATGTAACGTTTGCATATTTCCCTCACATGCCGCCTAGAATTTAGGTAAGCCTCTAATTAATCTTTAGCGATATGGTGATAACCATTCGACTTCTGCTTATTGTTTTCAGCAAATTTTACATTTGTACCACGTTTGAAATTTATAGTTTGGTTTGGAATTAACTTTGGAATTTTAAAATAAAATTATATGTTAACTCCATTGTGGGCACCAATATAGAACTTCATACAACTACGTTTCTAAAAAAAATTGTTGACACAAAAAATAAAAATAAAAAAATTATTGAAATACATAGTTTATTGTAGTCAGAACTGTGTGAACAGTTCAAAATTCAGGGATGCTTGTAAGTTCAAAGGATTTAAAAGAGATTCAGGGTGACCAAAGTAAAGATAGCATGACTAGAATGTTGAAGCAGGAAAAGTTAGGGAAGAAGTACCAGCCATGAATGAGTGCCAACTATTTAACAGCAAATCAATGCAATTTTCTCCTTCTTCTTAGCCCACCCCTCAGCCAGTGCGGTTAGTATGCTTAGGTGCTTGTACCTGTGCAACAAGTAAGGCTTCCTTGAGCTGACCTCTTGACATAAAGAAGTTGACTAGTTTTTTCACATCCCCAATGGCTATGCAGTATGGAATGACATCATCTTTATCTTCCTGGATTAGCTGGTCAGCTCTCCTAATAAAATAAGGGCATATTTACTCCATTAAATGGACATAACAATTTCAAACTCTGTCTGAATAACTCTGTTTGAAAACCCTTAATACCTTCTGATATTCTTTGGATGAAGAAATCAAAAAGCTGAACATTTTTTAAAAAGCCCTAAAACATCTCACTGTTGCCTCGAGGTTACTCTCTTAATTCCCACCAGCTCCTATATTCCAACTACAGCCTCCGCCTTTTAGTTACTTTACTCTGTTCTCAAGACCTAGAACAATTTTTCCTGTCTGTTCTTTTATTTATACCTTATTTTCAGTTCAAATGCACAAGCCTGCATCAGGTTTTCTCTGTCACAATATATCTAAGGGCATTTTCATGTTAATACTACAGATGCCTACATATGAAAAGTATCATGATAGAAGCCTATTCATATTGCAAGATGCAATATTCCAACAATGATACAGAATAGCAGATCATCTTTACCCTAATTCTGCAAGTTACAGTCATGTAAACTGAATACCTTTATCTTGGATAATTCATAAAGATTTTGAGGTTCATAGGATGTCTTGTGAAATAAACATCCACTGCTCACTTGACCTTGTTAGAGGTTAAGCAGTAACATTCACAATGTGTTGTGTGATTATAGAACTTGAGATGTATCTGGAATTCTGGGAATCTGAAGGCTAGAAAAAGCCTCCTGCTTAACTTCCTGTTAGGAGAGCAGGCGCTGTGGAAGAGCCTACTTCCCTAGCCCATGGCAAAATAGAAACATTTCTAGATTTCATGCTTCGGCTCTGGATTTTTAAATTTTTATTTTATTGTAAAGATGCTGTACACGAGGGTTACAGTTACATGAGTAAGGCAATAGTACATTTCTTGTCAAGTATTATTAATCCTTCCCTTGTTCTCCTCCCACTACCTCGTCCTTCCCCCACCTCCCTCCTCCCCCCCACAAAGTTGTAGGCTCTGGATTTTTTAATTTGTGTACAGGAATAACAACAGGACTTTTTCCAAAATTATTTCCTGTAAGAAAAATATTATTTTTTCTCCAAGAATGGGAGGATTGTGGTTCAAGGACAGTTTGGGCAGAAAAGTGTGCAAGACCCCTTCTTAACACATAGGTGGGCTCAGTGACAAGCATCTATCCACCTAAGCTATGAGGGAGGCAGATGTTAGAAGGACCAAAGTTTCTGCCTATCATGGGTGGAAAGGCCACAGGACTCCAATTCAACAAAAGGTTCTGGGCGCAAATGGACATGCCTGTTATCCCAGGTACACTGAGAAGCCCTAAGTAGACATAGCCCAGCCATGCACCTGATCAGGTTGTGATACCCAGTGTCAATAATAGCCAGCACAGAAAAGGGCTAGAAGCATGGCTCAGCAGTACAGTGCCTGTCTGTAAAGCACAAGACCTCAAGTTAAAACTCCAGTATCACCATTTTTTACTGCTAGAAGTATCAATAGTACTTTACCACCTAGCACAACAGTGCTACATAGTTGATGTTAAATAAATAGTTGCTGATTGAATAGGATGGTATAGAATGGAGAATAATCATGTGTATGGAGTGGAAGGTGTTCTGCAAAAGATGTGTTGTGGTCCTAACTTATGGGACCCACAAATGTACATATGTGGATATAGAATCTTTGCTTATGCAATTTATTAAATTAATAAGGAACTATATTGTAGGCACTAAATCCAGTATGACTGGTGTCTTTGTAAGAAAAAGAAATTCTAAACTTGAGACACAAAGGATGGTGCAGTATGAAGGGAGGCAGAGGCTCTTGATATATCTATAAACTAAGAGATGCCAAAGACCCCTGGCAGCCACTAGAAACTTGGAGAAACCATGAGGCTAACTCTTTCTCAGTGTCTCCACAAAGGGCTTTCTCTGCCAGAAAACTAACTGGACTTTGAGCCTCCAGATTGGCTGCAGAACACAATGATTCATTTTAAGCTACCCAGATTGTGGTAATTTACTACAGCAGTCCTATGAAACTGATATACCTACTTAATGAAAAAAACTTTCTTGATTTATGACCTTTAATGCAAAGATATTTAGTCATATTTACTCCTTATTCAGAGCATTTCCTACTATCAGTCCAAGAAGAGGGCTTGATGAAAATTAGTGTTTCCGGGAGAATATTTATGATTACAGTAGTATTCTGTAAAGTGTTTGATAACCTTCAGAAAATTTTCCCATTTACATTTCAGTTCCAATATAATAGTAGGGTAGTCATAATGCTTGTTGGTCTTTCTTATGTACATTTAAATGAGGAGATTTGCCTTCTACTGTCATCATTAGAAGTCAGGACAAATACTAGAACATGATTTGTTACCTATTCATGGACTTATTGGCTCAATAGACAAAAATTTACCTACAAATTTAGAACATAAGAAGAAATCTCAAGAACTGCTTCCACATTTATATTAATTGTTTAAAGATTAAGGCATGCCTTACCTCTGCATTAAGTTCTTCCAGTATTTCACTGATACCCCAGGTGCAATTGACAGTGCTTTGTCCCACTAGAATAACAGGGAAGAAAAGCAACAATTGTACATTTTGATTGCATTGTGAATAGACCTTGATGAAGTTATAGTTATAGCAATGCACATTTGTAGTTCTAGATTTCTAGGCACATTTTTTGCATTTTACTTCATGGATCCCACTCAGAATAAATATAACATTATAAAATAAAAAAAATAATTATTTATTAGGGAAAATTCCACAGCAGAGCTAAAGAAAAAGCATTTGAAAGAGAGAAAGAAAAATAGACTCAGAAAATAAGAGTAATATAGAAAGGAATAATAACTAAATATAGATTTTGAAAATATTATGACATATCTTCTAATACACCAGAATAATTTGCTCCATTTTCAATTAACAATGAACTGTTTTATTTTAATTTTATTTATATTGAACAAATGTGTCTGTCATTTGTTTATATTTTATTCTTTCCCTACTCATTTTTATAAATTTTGTTTCTGCCTTTATAATTAATAGCATTTGTTATATTTTCAAAAATTAGACTGGTATTCAAGAAGCTCATAATTCAGTCAATACTGACTATGATTGTTCTTTTTGTTGTTGTTGTTGGTCGTGGGGCTTGAACTCTGGGCCTGGGTGCTGTCCCTCAGCTCTTCAGTTCAAGGTGAGCTCTCTATCGCTTGAGCTACAGCTCCACTTTTGGTTTTCTAGTGGTTTATTGGAGTTAAGAGTCTCACAGACTTTCCTGCCCGGGCTGGCTTTGAACTGAGATCCTCAGATCTCAGCCTCCTGAGAAGCTAGTATTACAGGTGTGAGCCACTGGCGCCCAGCTATGATTGTTCCTTAAAAACATATATTTTTACTGAGTGCAAGACTCCAAGAGAAATGAGAAAAATATATTTTGAACTACCACTACATGAATTAAAATGTACAAGCTGTCCAAATCACCTTATAAAGCCTATGGCAGTATTTCTCCAAGACCAGTATGCAGAAGAATTGCCAGAGGGGTGCTTATGCTTATTAAAACCAGAGCTGAACTTCCTCTTCCGGTTCTGCTAGTTTAGAGACCTCCCTTTACTGACTCCTGTACACTACTGTCCTATGAGCTGCTCTAAAGTATAGAACTTGGGATTATTTGGGCAGATAATCACTTTGATCTAAAAACATTAAGCTTCTTACATTTAATATTTAACATGAATCATATTTTTAGAATACTACAGCAGACTGATTAAGTTTACTTTAGTGGCACATTACCTCTCCGAGTTCAACCATAAGTTCACAGTATCTCTGGATTTGTCCTAATCTCAAGTGTATTTCAGCAGCTTCCTTTAGCCTTTCCTCTTTAGTAGGTGCCCCAATACCGCCACCAAATTTAGACATCTTCACTGTTGTTAGCTCCTGAGCTTCAGACTGGTTAAAAAGAAAACAGTAATTTTTAAAAATTATTCTATGACAGCTGGATATTTTTAAGCGCATAGAACTGGAAGTCACATAGTTTAAAAAGCAATAATTTTTAAACACAATAGGGAATATGTACTGGGAGACGAGAGGCTGTATCCTATCATCCTTAATATTCTCCAGGTATGGTGGTTATACAGAAATAAAAAAGGCAAAAGTCAGTGACAAAGTGATACCTGTTTAGTTAAAGAGAATATAAGTCTCTAGCGAATGTACAAATGACTGGTTCACTTGGGCTCCTACACTAAAAAAGATTGTGACTTAAGAAATAATTCCTGTTTGTGAAAATAATTGTTCCTGCAACCATCAGATTTATACTTCTGGTACATTTTTTTTTAATGTTCCACCAGTTAACTATCAATATTTCATCAAAAATATACAAACTAATTTTTTTCCTTTTGGGTTTCTGAATCGTTTTTGTTTTTACTATTGGATAAAGTATCATGTATGAAGTAATTAATCCCATATTGGCATTCATTAACACTACAACATGATCATTTTTAATACAGCACATGCCAATCTATGAGTTTCTCTGAGATGAAAATCAGAGCCATCCATATAACACAATCACCTGGTAAGAGAGGAAAGATAAAGGATTTGAAGAAGTTTTAAGGGACCTTTGAACAATATCATGCACTGCTATGGAGCTATGACTGCTTTGGCCTGTCCTTGGTTTTACAGATTTATCTCTGTGGAGTTCATTTATTTCAGCATACCTACCTAATTATGTATATACTTATTTCTTCTAGTTTTCTTACTTACCATTTGTCTAAATGCATCATATTGCACATTTCACTTACAGTTTTAAATTTAATCAGATGCTTCAAATGCATTATTCCTTTGCAGTAGTTCTGGGGAAGTAAGCTATCATCTTGTCCTTTAATCACAGCAACCAAATTCCATAAATTGTCACTGCCACCTGGAGGCTAAAAGTTGAAACAGAATAAAGACAGATAGAAGGGTGAATAAAACCTCCCATGATATTATAAACTAGATTCATCTATTAGGTAGATTCATGTATTCTAATCTAATTATTTAGATGATATGTAACTACATTATCTCATTTATTATTTCTCATTTTATATTTTTCCCTTTCTTCCTTCCCTCACTTCCTCACCTCCTTTTCCTTACTATACAGTAGCTGGCCATCAATTCATAACCCTACTGCTGGCCCAACCCTCAAATGCTGGGGTGAAAGGCAGGCACTACTGCATAACAGGCAACATTTGATTTCTTCTACTATACAGAGTGTGATAAAAAGAGAACAAATCAATTGGGATGATGACTGTGAATATATGGATATTCTTAAAGCATAGAGAGCTGGAAGCTACATATTTAAAAATAATACTTTTTCTCAGTAAAATACAATTCATATCTAAACATAATATTTGAGCCACAATGAATCAGAGCTTTGGTGGTTCAGTCTAGCTAAAGGGATAAGGCTTATGTTTAATTGCAACAATACTTACTGATAAACATTCTGAAAACCATCTTAATTTTTTTGCTCGAGGATTACCAGTTAGCTTTTCTACTTCTTGTTTAATATCTCTTGACACTTTCCCACACAATAGAGGAGGAGTGCCTTGTTCAAGAGCATGATCTGAGGAAGAGATGCGATGTAGTGAGTAAATACGCCTTACAAAGTATTGTTAAATAATAAAATTTAATATGTTCAATACCAGTATTCCCGATAATTTCCTCCCAGGATCTGTCAGCCACAACGTTTATTTGTAAAGGAGTGATTAAAGATGTCAATGACCAGAGTCTCACTGTGGAATCACGGGAGCAAGAGGCCATAGTGAAGGGACGACTTGGGTGACATGTTAAGCCTGATAGAAAACAAACCAACTTATTTTCAAAGGGAATAAATACTGAAAAGGAAAATTTATGTATACTTCATTAATCTTCTACAGAGTTGAAATGATGAAGAAATGCGAATAAGGGAGAGAGTCTTAGAGGTCAACTTTCTGCCTGCATTTAATTAAAATTGAGACTGAAAATATAAAACTGTAATACATTACTTAATACTTTCTATAACATGAATAAATACTTATAAAAAATTAAATAGTCCTGAATGAAAATTCTGCAATTACATTTTACTTGGTTTAGCAGGGTATGTACCGTAATAGAACACATGGTATTTACTAGTTAATGGGAGTTCCAGTTACAAGATAGAGGACTTGGAGACTGCATTCCAAATTAAAGAATATCAACAAAAAAGGATTCTCCTACACTCAGTCGCACACAGCCTTAAGGCGGATGCCCTTGGGATAATGTCAGGGATTTGTATTATTCTTTAAGGATTTGTTATTTTTAATTCTTAGTCTACTCACTCCAATCAAGGTTTAGGAATAAGAGCAAGTACAAATACAAGTGAGAATAAATGATGTATAAAAACGAAATTGTCTGATTTTTCCACACCTATTGCAACTTGGTGTATATTTAAATATATATACATATATATTTCGCTTTGTATATCAAAATAGGGAAATGGTTAAGTAAGTTATGTCTACACTATAAATAATTTCCTCTTCTACAACTTATGCCATGAGTCCCTGTAAAGTAAGCAAGAAAATCCAACCTATAAATATAGCCAACCTATAAAATATATATCCTTATATATGTATATGGAGTGCATATGTTTTGTGTGTGTGTTCACAGAAACACAAACACACTTGCAGAGACAGATAACACAGTGCTGACAATAAACATTTTCTGATAGCTGTCACTTATCATTTTTATATTTTGATATTTCAATATGCTGATTTATCAGTGAGGACAAATGTTATTTAAAAAATGAAATGTGACTTCTTTAGAATGTTTTACTGCTCAGGAATTACAAGCATCATTAACACATCAAAACAAATATACATGAAAAATATTTTACCATATACATCTGCACCGTGATCACACACAGTATCCAAACAAGTTCCTTCCCGAGTGTCCCATACTTTTATAGTATAGTCCCAGCTGCCAGATATTAGTAGATAGGGAATCTCAGTATTCCACATTAATCCCCTCACAGGTGCACTGTGTCCATTAAGAATACTTATGCAAACATCTTGAGTATAATCCCAGATTCGAACAGAACTGCAAACAGAATGTTATCTATATAATTCAGATTATAAAAAATACTTTTGTTCTTTAAGGCAAGTCTCTGTTTCATATAAAAAGATTCCTTTTCTTTCCCCACTCTTTTTTTTGGGGTGTAGAAAAATATAATCAGCCACCCACATCCATCGGGCTTTCAGTTTTGGACTCAACAAAATATGGATCAAAAATACTGAAAAAATACAATTGTATCTGCACTGAAATAGAATATTTTTCTTGTCATTATTCTCTCAACATAGAATATAACAACCATTTCTAGAGCATAACTTATTTCTATATCTTATACATTTGAGTTGAATATATTTTCTCTTTTCCACATATTCCTTTAAAATTATTTCTCTTAACTTTCCTGAAAATAATCTAGAAATAAGCATAAAGACTGAGTAAAATAAATAGGTAAGAATCAAAAAGATAAGTATGGTTGAATTTAATTTTGGTTTAGTTCTTCATTAAATGTCTACTTGTTAAGTACAAAAAGACTTAAAATATTTCCATGTATGAGTTTATTATATACACATATGTGTTTCTGGGAAAATATATTTATGACTTAAAGTTCAAAAAAATTAGAAGGCAAGAATACATACCCATCATCAGAACCACTACAAAGAATTCCTTCCCTCAGAGGTGACCATTTTACATGAAACACTTTAGCTGTATGTCCACTAAAAACTTTCAGTGGTTGGTCAGAGCTGGTGGCTGCGTAATAGATGCGAACGTTTTTATCTTCACAGCCAGTGGCTATCATATTTCTGAAATGCCAACGGTGGTTCATTAAAATAGGATAGGTTTATATTATTGATTATCAGTAATTGAAAAAATGTACAACGAACTTTACAATTTAGGCAGGGGGGACAAGGGGGTGAGGAGTGTAGTTGTGGAGATGGGAGGGAAGGGATGGTAGGAGAAAAACAAATGAGGAGGCAACAATTCTTGATAGGAAATGTACTCACTACCTTGCTCATGAAACTGTAACCCCTCTGTACAGTATTTTCACAATTAAAAAACTTATTTAAAAATGTACAACAGTTTTAACTTATACAGATGTAGAAACTTCCGCTTCCTTAACAAAACAGAAATGATATATATAGAGAGAGATAAATACAGACATCTCTATGTTTACATAGCTATCTATAATCATTCATATTACTGGTTGTAGAAACTGCATACCAGTAGGAAGAAGTTTTTTTCCAGTGTTCCATTTTTATTGTTAGTATTTATATTTTATTTATCTTAGTCAGAGACAATATATTTGGGGTTTATGGGTTATTTTTTAGACATATAATTTTCTGAACCTTATACTTTGTAATTATTTTTATTTTAAAAAGGGTTCTTCCTGATAAGTGATGAGTTGCTTACTTCACATGCCCTGGGAATTGTTACTTGTTTTATAGGTGGTGTGAGTACCAACTGTGATGATTCCTGTAGAAGAATGCTGGAAAAGCTCCCTGAAGAACAGGCTGTCTCAACAGATAGTAAGACACAGTTCAGTTTTCCATTTCTTATTGTGGGCCTTCACCTCCTTGAGATGCTTTATTTGTTACAAGCAACTAAGGATCCTCTGGAAATACACTGTGATCTTTATATTATTTGCTCTTTATTCTCACAAGAGTGAAAGTATAATACTCCTTGTCTCCTAGTTGGAATATTGTTAAGGAAGGAGTGACGGAAACTAGGAAAACCTGTGGAGACCATGTACCTGTCAAGAGAGTCTAATTAAGGAACATCTGCTCTAATCTTCATATAAATAGTTCTCTTACCCTAAAGCTAAAGAGGAAAAGAATTACATGCTTTAGAATTCAACCATCATCAAAATTCTTGAAAAACTTCAAATTTCTTATTGTGTCATGTGACTTTTATATTTTATATTCACATGCAGAAATACAACTGGCATGTACAGATTACATCTTCCTAAGGTTCACTAATAAACAGACCAATTTTCACATTCTGGAAAATTATTTTGCATATATACATACATAGATTTATATACACAGTATATTTTGTATGTTTGCAGATGCTGGAACATTAATATATATTCTTAGAGAAATATCAAAAGTTTTTAAAAAAGCATAAAACATATCCAAATTGCAATTCCAGACATTTTTGAATACACTTTTGAAAGCAGAGGCTATTTTTATTTTTCCACTAAAATGCAAAGGAGAATATGAATACATGGGGAATAACTTTAAATTTTATAAATTAAAAAATATATGAGAAATACACATATGGAGAATAAGATAGGTTTATAACAGTTAAAATATTGGACTTAGAGTGTCAAAATGTTTTCTTAACTAACAATACTGTATTAAAATCAAATTTTTATTTCAATTTCCTAAATCTTAGTTCCATCAGGCAGATAAGAATGTAGAACTGTTCTGTTATTCAGATACAAAATAATCCTATTGCTGTATTTACTTAACAAGTAATTATAGGACATCTAATCTACCTTTTCCAACAAACTGAGAGTTAGCAGCACAATGTTTTACTGTGAATATTGTGATACACACAGAAGCATGCTGGTGATCTCTTGGTCTTACATGTCAGAGGGGGAAGAAGCCAATACGCAACTAATTACATAATCAAAATTTAATTTTAGAGCTGAGTGTGGTGGTGTATGGGTCCAGCTACAAAGAGAAGGAATTAGGATTATAGTTTCACACCAGACTGGGCAAAGTTAGTTGAAGGTGTGATCTGAAAAACAAACTAAAAGCAAAACGACTGGGATGTGGCTCCAGTGGTACAATGAGCCCCTGAGTTTAATATCCAGTAACCAAAAACAACCAAAACAGCAAAAGATTTAATTTTATCACAATACCTGCTCTAAAGGCAAATTATAAGAGATGTTTACTTAATATCAAAGTCAGGGAAGATGGTAAATGTATTTTTGCTGAGAGTGAGGTGGGGTCTGTAGTGTCTAACGATGAGAAGCATCCTAAATATAGGTGGGCAGCATGAGTAAAAGTATTGAAGTGAATATTGTCTGCATAGTTCAAGAAACTGAAAGCCGCTATGGTCAGAAGCAAGGTGAGCAAGGCTTGGATGAGATTCATTAACCGGAGTGAAACCAAGATCATATAAGGACTTTGTTGTAAGGCTTGCTGGGAAATTCAGTTTTTCCTGCAATCAGTGGAAAACTATGAAGGATTTAAGCAGTAGACTGGTGTGCTCAGATGTGTACTTTTAAATGTGCATTAAAAGAGGTTGAGAAAGAGAAAAGCAGAATAAAAAATATAAAGTCTGGAAATGATTAAAAAGGCCTCTGATAATGTCCAAAAACAAAATCTGAAATATTAAATAGTCAATGTCTTAAATTCTCACCAGTGTTTTAAGTTTTTAAGTATTTTACAATGTAAATGCCTATGTATGATATAATTTTTGAAACTGTACAGTATTTTCACAATAAATTTTTTAAAAAAATAATATGAATATGACTTTGAAAAATTCTATTATGTAGACACATAATAGATTGTTTTAACCTACTAGATTGTGTCCTTTATTAAGAGTGCTGTTTTATTTCTTGTTTTCTAAAAACAATAAAAAATGCTAGACTTTATTCACTTTTTTATCAATCTAAGGTTATATATGCATTAGCCATTTATTCTATTAATAGCTTATTAAATTAATTTATTTTTCAGAAAAATAATTCAGATATTAATTTACTGGAAGGGAGATGTCTTGAGAAAGAATACTTAAACAGATATTAGAATGAGCACTAGACTGGACATGGAAGTTTTGACATATTAAAGTACAAGAAAAGAGGCTAAGGATACTGGGTTTAGTTTTTTGTTTGTTTATTTTCTTGTTTTATTTAATTAGCAATTACTAAGTCTTTAAATAGGAAATAATGGTAGGTGGTTTAGTCATTTTATGCGTAACAATGCAATTCTACATTTAGTGAAGTATATGTGACTTTACTCAGAACACAAGCATAATGAGGTGTTAATAATTACTTCTATGTTTCTTACATTTTTGGTCTGGAAAAATCATAATTCATATTACTTTGACTAAATCTGGAGAAACTATATTTTCACATATAGTTTGTATTTTATCAAAGAGAAGTTTGAAACACAAAATTCTTGGAAATGAAGTAAGCTAAATGCCCAAACATAATGGAATTACATGAGAATAGCCCAGATTTGTATAGTTCTTTAAAATCTCCAAAACATAATAGCTACAGAAAAAATATGCTTACTTGTTGTTCTGGCTCCAATCACAGCCAAATACTGCAGCTGGATGTTTGTATCTGTGTAGAACTTTGCCATCAATTGTTCGGATAATACTAAAATTAATTATAATACGTTAATAGGAAAACAATGTTTTGTCTTTGTAAACACCATTCCATTGTTATAATTAGTGATATAGCAATACAACATATACCTACCTGGGCTGATATAAAATAGTATAATATATGGTAGAATTATTCAAATAAAATCTCATTGATACATAGTTAGAATGACCAAATACATCTTTTATAGACAAGGACACTTCATAATAGGATATAGTACTTACCAGAAACCATCTCCACTGCAAGTGGCTATTCTTTTGGAATCTTTATGACTCCAGGCAATGCAGAATATTCCATTTTTTCCATGCTTCAAAAAATGCAAAATACCTATCAATAAGAAATAATTCACCCCTTTTTCTCTTATTTATTTACTTCTTTTAAGTATTGTTTTTCTATTATGAACTTACTATATAATATAATACTGAGAAATTATTGTCCATAGAACAAATAGATATATAGTCTAAGAATTTGCAATGCTGTCACATTTAAGAAACAGATCCATTAGTTAAAGAGAAGTATTATTTAGCTCTGTTTCTTTTAGGAGGCATGAGGAAGAATCTGCTTTTTCATTTATCCATAGAATTAACGTTTGATTCATGTCTTTTACTGTGAATACCAGGCTACTCCAAGTATAAGAAATGTGGTGAGCAATATTTATTACTAGTTGTTCTTTTAAGTATCAAGAGTTCATTTTTGTTGAGAAATTAGAAGAGATATAAAATTGTCCTATAATAAGGCATTCACTATTTATTGTAAACCTGAAGACGTATTAGGGCATATATAAATACAGGTAGTGTGATTCAAGTTTCTAAACCACAAGGAAGGAATAAACTACATATATAGGATGTCATTTGTCAACTGTGTTATGGATGAATGAAAGTTATAATTGACCCATTTCTGAATGACAGTTTAACATTTTCTATTTGATATAGTACTTAGATTGTGTTGCCGTTAAGGTAAAACTAAAGTGATTTCTTATTCTGCTTTTGTAAAGATGTAGATTTGACTTCCTAAGGTAATATCCAAGTTTTAAAGTTTCTTTGAGCAGGTTAAGGAAGGGAGACCTGTGTGTGTGTGTGTGTGTGTGTGTGTGTGTGTGTGTGTGTGTGTGTGTGTGTATTCATTTAGTTTAAGTGATGGAGGCTTAATTTTCCTTTGCCATGAGAAATACATCTGTCACTTTTAAAATTTCTTTCTTTCTTTTAGGTCACACATTGGCATTCTTATAATTTTCTCCATATTTGTAATACAGAATTGGAGCAGTTCTGATACTGGATTAGTATACTATTGACTGCTAGGAAAGACTTGAAAGAAGATGTGTCCCTCATACTGATTGCTTTGAATACTAGTCAGAATTATTTAAGTGCTAATAAAGAGATATGTTGCTTTGCACAGAATCAAGATGTCATCAGAGGAAACCAGTAGATACTCAATAAATATTTTGAATAATGATTTCAAATCTTGATCAAAAGTTTAATTTCTAGGCTCATTTCTTTCACTGTTTATTATGAGATAAGTTCCTGTCCCGGCAATAGCAATGTGAAGATCAGGTTGACTATTGCCAACAGAAGAGCATTGTTTTGATGTATGTGGAAAAGGGAAGGATATTTCTTTTATCTCTATGAATGTTTCTTCTTTGGAGAACACAATTGTTTACCAGTGCTTGGCAAATAATACATTAAAGCAATTACCCTCCCCCACCCAGGAGAACAGAGCTGCTAGGCAGTGTCTTCAAAGGGATAGACATGCTTTTGCATAAATATTTTAGAGCCTTAAACATGTAAGCAATATTCAAAGAAAGTACTTTCTTAATAATTTAAATTCAAAGTAAACAAAATTTCAAGATGGTGAAAGAAAAGCCCATTCATTCATGTTCTCCAATGCACACATAATGTACCATATTACACTGCATGTGATTTTTGAATGATAATGGAAATCTATAAAATATGGGATGATGATTTAAGCCTAAGGAAAACTAGGATGCATGGTATTACACCTAGGAAGAAGAGCACTGATACAGCTTTTGCTACAATGAGAGAATCTGAGGGAAATCTAAGAAATGACGGCCCCCAAGCTTATCCCTTCGTAGAAGGCACCAAGGTCCTTCGTGGAAGGACCAAGGCATTAAAAGGATTCTATGTTGAAGGATATTATCAAGTGAAAAAGAATTATAATTTAGTGTTTCTGAGTTTATTCTTTCTTACATCCATTAATCTTTGCCTGGACTTGGTGGAGGATGACTTGAAATTCTTTTCAATCTCTAATATAACTTCAGGTGCAGGTAAATTTTTATAGTCTGAGGCACAATTCTCAGATTACAATTGAGAATGCAATTACTTCATTGAATAGATTAGTTATGTTAGCATATTTTTGACTATTAAATCAAGAAGTAAAACATTTGTAAAGTGTAAAGTACTCTAAGAGAATATACATGTCACCATATTTTGAGTATTAAATTAAGTAAAACGCAAAGTATAAAGTACCCTAATTATTCAGCAGCCAGTAGTTATATCTTACCTCATTAAATCGTTGTATTATTTTGCCCTTATGAACATCCCAGATAAAAGCACCATTTCGAGAAGTTGCTCCGGCAATACAATTTAAACCACCTTAGGAAACAATATGTTTGTTAGACATTAGATAATATATGTATGCCAAAAATATAATTCCTTTGAAAAGATTACAAAGGAATTGTACCATAATGATTTTTCAACATTAAAATATCTCATCATATCTGTAGTATTTTATAGTATTTAATTCTGTTACTCTTTGGAGATTCTTATTTACAAGTTTATTTGCAGTTTTTATTTTCTTATTATTTATTCTAAAACAGAGGAAATTATACAACTATATATGTCATACTGTATTCCAAGCCTCTGTCAACCTTCACTAATCTAGTTTTAATTTCATCCACATTTATCTAAAAGCCAATTAATTAGTAACCATACAGCAAAAAGGAACAAACTTTTCTCAAATTTTTATTTTCTGCTGCAGATTCTCAATGTAAAATGGAAGTATGCTCTCAGTAAGATTGGCTATTTAGGTTATGATTTGAAAGGATGGATTGATAATTTTTACTTGAGTTCTGGGCTTATGACATGCATTTCTTTTTTTGTAGATTGTATCATTTTGGTTCATTTCTAGATTACTATGATATAAACCATACTGAATTGAGATACATTCTGGAATAAGTGGTCTTCTACAAAGATTATATATATTATATACAAAGGTATATAGATTACAGCAGTATATTTAGAAACAGATGTTAGATAAAGGAAATATTTTATATTATTATAGGAGAAGGTTTATTGAAGTAATTATGAAAAAATTGCGCTAGTGCTAGGATTTGAACTCAAGACTTTGTGCTCTCACTTGGCTCTTTTTTCCATTTAAACTTGGCAATCTATCACTTGACCATAGTGACCATAGATGAAAGTGTCTTGGATTTATCTGCCTGAGCTAGCTTCAAACTTCTGTCCTCAGATCTTAGCCTCCTAAGTAGGTAAGATTACAGGCATGAGCCACCAGTGCCTGGCTAGGAAATACTTTTTTATAATTTTATAGTCTTTCCAGAAATAAACTTCTATGAAAAGGAAAATAGTATTTATAGTGTATATTATAAAATAACATCACATAAAACTCTTGCTTGCATAACATTCCTCTACAATTCCCAATGTTTTAAAATGAAAATAGTATCATGAGACTCTAGATATTTCAAAAGTAGGAGTAAAGCTTGGATTTGAAAGTGACTTTCAGATGGAAAGGCAGTCACCAGCATAGCCACCATGAAGCCAGGTGCTTTGTGGGAATTGCTTTCATCACTTAGCATCTAGCTTTTCTTTCTTTCTTTCTTTCTTTCTTTCTTTCTTTCTTTCTTTCTTTCTTTCTTTCTTTCTTTCTTTCTTTCTTTCTTTCTTTCTTTCTTTCCTTCCTTCCTTCTTTCTTTCCTTTTCTTTCCTCTCTCTCTCTCTCTAGTTCTTTCTTCCTTTTTTGCTTTCTTGCATTCATGCTCTCTTTCTTTTTTTGGTAATGCTCTTTTTAATTATCATTAAGCAGTTGCACAAAGGAGACAAAGAAGTTACTTTTCATCAAAGCAGTTTATGAATGCAGTGCGTCCTGATCAATGTTACCCTTTCAACATTCTCACCCACCTCTCCCAAGTCACCCTTGCCTTACTTATCTTAATTTTAGGTTATGTATTGAGTTTTTGCAATTCACAAAGAAGTTCATGTGTACAATGCATCTTGTATGTAAACACTTCAACAACTTCACCCCCCTTCACCCACTCCTCTTGCATTTCCCAATTCTGTGATATATACAATGAATTCTTGCCTGTGTTCTCCCCGCTTCCTCCTTCATTTCTCTACCCTTCTCCTTTTGGCTCCACGCTCGCCTCTTGCAAGTACCCTTTTCCTGGTACTTGTTTTGTTGGACTTTTACTAAGTCTTAAAAAAAATTATACTATTTGTGTTCTCCATAGAGTGTATTATACTTCTGCATGTCTGTATTTCTGTGTAGTCGAACTTGAGAATGGTCAACCAATAGCAGTTACAATGCAATATTACACTTCTGGTGGGTCCCAATCTTACATTGCTGTCCAGGAAAACATGCTTTGAAGATGTACATTGTAATAATTAAAAATACTGTTAAGTATTGATTAACAACATAAGCATTGTCAATACGAGCTGTACATAATATTTTCTCCTCTTTTTAGGAGAGCTCTATAACCCAAAGCTATATAATCATCTTTTTTTACATCATTTTCTTTATTGGGAATCCAATTGCTATGGCAAGCTAACAGATACAAACATACACATGCCTATTCTAAAACTTAAGGAAAATTATTTTTCTCCAAAGATATCAAACACTTTGAAGGCCCATAAATTCAATGTTAATTATTCTCATGTAAAATGAAACAAGTCAAAAAAAGGATAAAGGATGGTTGTTAATATAAATTTGATTCAAATAAACTCAAATAAAATTTGATTCACATAATATCATACATTTAATGCACATAAAAATCCTGGAAAACTTTTATCCTATAAAATGTATCATCATTAAAAAGGTATAGCTATAGAAATAACAGCTAAAATGTATATATGATTATATCATATTAAAGTACCTATGCATGTGACTTACTCTGAAACCTCATTAAAACTGAAGTAACCAATTGTGGGTATTCATTTGCTTATACAAATTGTGACAACATGAAATCTAGGGAAAGAAGATAGGTCAAATGAAACTTAAAAATCACTTAATTATATTCTTGATCTTAATAAAGTACGTCTTACCAGGAGCCCATGAAAGCGAATAAATAACCCCTTCATTGCCAGGAGAAGTGTACACTGCTGTTAACGTGTTTATATCCCAGACTTTTATAGTGCCATCAAACGATGCTGTTGCTAAAAGATTTGGATCATCAGGTTTGAATTTGCAGTCAAAGATAGTTTCCACGTGGCCCTATGAACACAGTATAGAAATTCTTCACTACTGAGAAAATACTGATTATCAGCAAACAAATCATAATGAATCATTAAACTGATACATATGCTACGGTTTTTCAAATAGTATTGAAAAATTAGAGGTAAAATGATACACAAAATTAGAATTGCTGCTATGAATACTGAATATTCTTTGGAGCTGTTGTTATTTATTCAGAATGCTTGAGACCAGAAGTATTCCAGATTTCATGTATTTTTAGATTTTGTAGTATTTCCATATGCATAATGAGATACTTGGGTAATGAGACCCATATCTAAAACTGAAATTTGTTTGTGTTTATTATATAATTTGTATGTATAGCCTGAAGACAATTGTGTGTGTGTGTGTGTGTGTGTGTGTGTGTGTGTGTGTGTGTGTGTGCGCGCGCGCTAACAGGGCTTGAACTCAGGGCCTTATACTCTCACTAAGATTCTTATGCTCATAGCTGGCACTCTACCACTTGAGCCACACCTCCACTTCAGCAACTTTGGCTTTATGCTGGTTCACTGGAAATAAGAGTCTCTCTGGCTTTTCTGTTCTTTTCTTTTTCTTTTCTTTTCTCTTCTTTTCCTTTCTTTTCTTTTCTTTTTGTCAGTTGTGGGGCTTGAACTCTGGGCCTGGGCACTGTCACTCAGCTCTTCAGCTCAAGGCTAGTGCTCTACCACTTGAGCCACAGCACCACTTCCGGTTTTCTGAATGGTTTATTGGGAGATAAGAGTCTCACAGACTTTCCTGCCTGGACTGTGAATGGTGACCCTTAGATCTCAGCCTCCTGAGTAGCTAGGATTACAGGTGTGAGCCAGCAGCACCAGGCTTTCTCTGGTTTTTCTAACCAAGCTGTCTCTAAACAACTAGAACTTCAGATATCAGCCTCTTGAGTAGCTAGGACTGAGCTAGTTGAGAGCCATCAATGACTGGTAAGTTACAAATTTTTTTGTGTGCTTTATTCTTGCTCAAGGCTAGCATTCTACCCTTTGAACCACAGCTCCACTTCTAGTTTTTTAGTGGTTAATTGGAGAGAAAGGTCTCAGATTTTCCTGCCCAGGCTGGTATCATACCACTGCAATCCTTAGATTCCAGCCTTTTTGAGTAGTTAGGATTAAAGTTATGAGTCACCCACCAGCACTTGGCTTTGGGTCCCAATTTGTAATGTTCTTCAGGATTTAGAGGCTTCCATCTAGATTGCAAAGGAAGGCCTAGAGCAGATAGTATGTGGCACTGGCAGAATCCCTGTGGAGAAGTCCTAAGGGGGGGGATGCATGAAGCTACAAAAATGGAGTGAGGTGAGGCCTGGTAACTTACACAGTGATCTCAGATATTTATACTTGTAAGGTGAAAATGAGGACTGAAGTTCAAGTCCAGCTTGTGCTAACCATTAGCAAAACTTAATGCTAACAATTTGCCCTGCATGGAGGCAGATACCTGTGTTTTCAGCTCTGAGGAGAAGCAGTTTAGTTTGAGACCCACTCCAGGCAAAAATATGTGACACTTTTTGAAAATAATGAAAGCAAAAAGGACAGGGAGCGGGAATTGTGACTCGTGGTAGAGCACCTGCCCAACAAGGGCTCAAGTTCAAACCCAGGAAAAGGAATGGATTCTAAATAGTAATAGAGACACCAAGGAGAAGGGAGGCAGGAACATAAAACATGGCCAAAGATGGGAATGTAAACTAGTTCCCTATGACCCAGCAATTCCACTTCTGGGCATTTATCCAACAGAACACAAATGATGCCATATTAAAGCTACCAACACAAATGCCTCTCAGAGAACAAATGGATCAAGAATATGTGATGCACGCACGTGTGCATACACACACACACACACACACACACACACACACACACACACAAGCACACACACAATGGAATTCTACTCTTCCACCAGAAAGAATAATATTGTACCATTCAAACAGAAATTGAAAGACTTGGGAAAAAACATATTAAGCTAAGTAAGCCAGACGCAAAGAAATATAGGTTGCATGTTTTCCCTATGGTAACTAGAATGTGACTATAAATCTACACGTAAATACTGGATGGTAAAAAACAAATACACTAAGGCATGATAAACTATATAGGTCTCTAGCTATTCACACAGATGACAAAGGCTCAATAGCTTTGTGTATATAATCATGGAAATGATATTTTTTTAAATGAACTCGAGATATGGAAGTTTTTGTTGTTGCTTTTATTTTTTCCTTTTGTCTTGTTTGTTAGATTACCTGGTTTTGGAGGGTAAGAGAGGTCACAAAACAGGTATACAACTTATGGGTGGAGACATGAGGGAAAACTGGGTGAGGGAAGGGGCAACATGGTTTAAAATGAAATGTACTCATTACCTGACTTAAGTAACTGTAACTCCTCTGTACATCACCTCTACAAAAACAATAAAATATACTTTAAAAAAAAACAACATGGCCAAAAGTAGGCTGTAGGCAGTGAGACTGGCCATGAGGGCTTCAGTTAGGAAGGCAAACATGTTAACCAAACACATTACCACCTGCTCCAGATGCTGGGCACGCAGCTTCCTGGCTATTGCAAAGTGAGCAGCTATGAATCAACACATGCTCCCCACAAAAAGTTCTGTCTCATTCCAGACTCAGATGCAATGCAGCCAGACAGAATGAAACTTCTGCAACCATGAGCTAAGATGAACCTTTGCCTTTAATTTGCGTCCTCTCAGTTGTCACAGAGACAACATCATTTAATTCACAAATGATATGAGGGCAGTAAGACATGGGATAACAGGCAGGGATTACTATCAAGCTGAGTAGACATTAATATCTTAAGATTCAATTATTGACACTTGGTCAGTATTAGTAGCTTTGTCTTTATTCTGCATATTCTGTCTAATATATTTCAACTGACTTTAAAAAGTCTTAATGTGCTGGGCATCGTGGCTCACGCCTGTAATCCTAGCTACTCAGGAGGCTGGGATCTGAGGATCATGGCTCAAAGCCAGTCTGGGCAGGAAAGTCCATGAGACTCTTATCTCTAATAAACCACCCGAAAACTGTGGTAGAATGATAGCCTTGAGCCGAAGAGCTCAGGGACAGCACCCAGGCCCAGAGTTCAAGCCCCATGACCGACAGACCAAAAAAAAAAGTCTTAATGTATCAATATCATTGCTTACAAAAATAATTTCTAACAACTTTAATACACAGTGAAAAAAATGAAAACCCCGGGTTTACACAAAATAAGCATTGTGTAGCAGAATTGCTTCAGACATACCAAGTCCCTGAGAAAATCCCACTTCCTGGCTCCCAAGTCATAAAGTCCAACTCCACCATCCAGGAAACAGCACACAGCATGACCAGGAGGTAGTGAAAATGCTTGATTCTGTGTCAGGCCTGGGGGCGGAACTGCTTCGCTTGTGGAGGATGTATAATGATTTTTGTTTGGAGACTGGATTAAAACTAACAAAGAAGAGGAGACAAATTAGCATTTATAAAAGCAATAGCTTGCTGTTGGAATGAAACTACAGAGTTGCATATATAAGAGATGCTTCACTGGCTTTAAAATCCGTAAATGGGATTTATGATCACAAGTCTCTGTCAGATGGAGGAATCAGAAGCACTTCCTGGATTTCAGTTTGCGTGGTTTGCAATGCAGATGGAGTGACACGGGTGAAATGCATGTGACTTTCTTTTAAAGCAAGTAACTGACACTAATTTCTAATCAATGGAAGGAAATAATTATTTTCACATGTACTATTTAGTTTAGTATACAGGCTAAGAATCATGTGACTTATTTGAGTATCAATTTATTTTCAATTTTTCTAAATTTTCCACAGATATACAGTTCTCCTACTTTTAAATACATAAATGTACACGTTTAGTTATATTTTTGTATGTTTTTCACCTATATTTTGTCTTCCTTTGGAAGATTTCCTTAGAGTATGACTATTTTCTTGCAAGCACAATGAAAAATAGTATCAGAGTAAATTATTAGAACTATCAATTATCAATTACATATTTAAATATAGACAAGTGTTTCCCAGCATTTGGGAGAGTTATGAAGCCTATCTTACTATATTCATTATGGATCATACTCTCTTCTAAATTTTGTGATAAGGTCCAGGCTAGACTCCATTGTCTCTTTCTGTGTGTCTATCTCTGTCTTCAGTTCTAGGGATTAAATCAAGGCTGTCATGCATGTTAGGTAAGTACTCTACCACTTGAGTTATAGCTCTGGCCTAAAGTTGATGGGATTACAGGTGTAGATTTTAGGTCTTCACAGTCTTTATGTTAATCTATTCATAGTTCATGTTTTTAGAATTCAGTAAATATATCATGTCCAGCGACTACATTATAAATTTTCTTTTCATAAGTTTTCTTATTGAATACTGCTATAGAATGCAATATATTGCTACAATATGCCATAAGATATTCAAACACTTTAAAAATTGGAAACCTCAACTCTAACAATATGTTGTCTGAAGGAATTTACTCAATAATGACAAGATTGGCATATGCATCCTTACATTTTCCGACTTCTGAGAGTATGGAAGATAGTTGTAAAAAACAAAAGCAGAGAAGAGTATGTGTCATCAGTCATTCTATGATATGAGAAGTCATAGCCACTGAACAAAATATTAAGCTCATAGGACATATACAGTAGGCCAGTCTCCACCACATTTTTCACCAGTCCAAATCCGTCTGGAACCTCTGGAGGCTCTGGGAATGATGGGGCTCCACAGGAAAACTTAAAAGTTATAGATTTTTCCACACTAGATGAGATACTATGCTGATACTAAATTTTGTATTAGACGCTACAATAAATACTAATAGTTACTGTTAATTATTTAGTACATGTAGAAGATAGACAAGTTTGAGTGAGGAAGAATCAATGACTTTAAATTTATTAGATACTAATTTCCCAGCCACATTTTTTTCATGATCCATGCAAGACAGGAACATTACCTACTATGCAGAGCAATCAATGACTGATCTAGCAGGAAGTCCGATTATTTTCCCTTGCTTTTAATAAAAGACCATTCTAAAGCATTTTTTTCATTTACAGCATGCTTTACTCCTTTCCTAATTAAAATCAAGAATAATCATCAGAGAAAGTACTCAAAATAAGTGAAAAGGACATAGAATAACTATAATTGTAATTACTACCTAGGAGTAAGTGTTTTTCAAACAGGAGATACACTTTCTAAACTCTAAAAGTGGAATATTTATATTGTTATACCTTTGATATAAACTCTAAAATTTATAAACATGTGAACACATAAATTTTTGTAGTCTGACCAATCAATTTAATCCTAGCACTCTTGATAATTCTGTTTCCATAATATCATTACTTGATGTTTTTACCAAGATATCTTGTTTAATTGGAATATTCTCTTTTAATAGAGTTTTACAAACCTAGGTTGGCTCTAAATACCTTCAATTTAGTAATACTTTTGTTGTATAGAGATCACGGTTCCTTTGTACATGCATATATAATGTATGTAATTGTATACACACAAATATACATAAATATGTACTTTATATATACATATAGACATTGTCAAAGCTATTTCTAAAGATTATTTTTAACTAGCATCTGGTATATGATGCACTTACATTGCTAAATGTCATGTTGATAGAAAATATTATATTTTAAAATATTAAAATATTTATATTTTTACTTACACTTTTTCCTTGGAGGAGAATTAAGTACATGTAAGCAGTGAAATCCTGTCTTCTTCAATTTAAAATTATCAATAGGCGTTGTTCTGGAAACATTCCAAATGCGCAAAACACCCACTTGAGAGTCTAGTCAGATCATCAAAACATCAAAATGTTCACAACTATTGTGTGAAATCCAGACACCCAGACATAAAAATAACAACAGACTTTTAACTCCCATGAATGTTACCAGCAATTATTGATATCTTTCAACACTATTTGGTACGGTGATAACAACTGAAGAAATTGCTGAAAAGATCTAAATATCCCCAGTGCCTAGTGCACTCATATACATACATAAACTGCTAATCAGTTTCCTATGTACTGATACAGCCTTCAGTGTCTTCTTCCACTTACCATAAAGTGTTCAAGCTCACAATGTTACAGTATGTATCTGCCACTTCATTTTTTAATGGCTGAATAATATTCTACTATATTCGTTCACAACATTTTGTTTGCCATTCACTTTTATGGTTAACCTGTTGTTACCATGAGCATTTATATATAGGTAAATGACTATATAATTCTGTTGAGTGTATACAGATGAATGAAATTTCTAGTCCAAATGGTAATTTTATCTTTGATTAAGGAGCTTCCAGACTACTCTCCAAAACAACTATTAACGTGGGATTTAGGGGAAGAAAGGGGATTTTCTAACAGCTTTTAGGCTCATAGTTCTCAGGTTCATAGAGATCCTATCCTCTTTTTCTTGTCAGCATCTTTGCTGCCATCTATACTTGCCATTCTGCTATACCTGAAAATTAGCTTTCTCTTTGGTGCTCCCACAAACTCAGACACATATATGTGCACATTTCCAGAAACCTGGAAGGGAACCTTAATTTCATTTTTACTTGTAATTGTGCTAATAACATACCATATAACTAAAAAAACTAGGTGCCAATTCACCAAGAAAAGACTACAATTTCCCTCAGTTAAACAAGACACATATATGTAAAACTCTGGGTAGGAGAGATACGATTACCTCCAGTTATAAACATGCCAGGAGCACTGGGAACCCAAGCTAAGCATTGTACAGAAGCTGCTGCACTTGGAAAATTAAATGTTGTTATGCAATAAAGTGATTCAGAATCAACTAGTCGAATTCCATGGTGCATATTAGCCACAAGAAGATAGTCAGTAGACAGAGGGTCCCATTCCAGAGCTGTAACTGGATCCTCTTCATCTGTCCCCTCAAGAGATTCAGGTCTCAGAACATGTTTCTGATTTTTATTACCTATTAAAATAGAAAGGCCATACTTTTTAAAAAGCCACAAAAATCAATATTTTTGAGCATGTTAATTTTCTCCTCATATGTGAACCATCTATGACAGTATTAAGAACGCATTTTATATGAGAGAGACAACTGACATGTGAATGTAGAGGATTCATTTGTCCTAATGATTCAAGTCAGATTGCCTTGGTAGTTTCTAGTGCCTTGAATATATCTCCTATTTGTTACTGAAACCTGTAAAAGAAAGATATATATATACATATATACATATACATACATACATATATATATATATATATATATATATATATAACACAAATTAATCTCAACAGCAAATTTCACTTAGATGGTCAGCATAGGTGTAGAGAAATGCTTATTGGAAAGGAGAGTGTCAGGAAGTGATTGGAAGCATAAACTTTGAAGCTGGCTGCCTAGGTCTAAATCCTAGCTCTACTCTTCACTAGATGTTTATAACGGAGGACATAATACTAACCTCATTAGTTACTGAAAACGAGTTAGTTGACTAAAGTGTTTAGAACAGTGCGATGTTTAGTGAGTCATTGTGTGCTACAATTCCTTTCTCGTTCATCATTTCATATACTGAGTACCAATTCAAACAGGAAAGTCAGAATATAGATAAAATAGATCAAACAAGTATAGGTAAGTGAAAAAAAGAGTCATTAAGTGATCCTCTTGTTTTTGTAAATTACATATTTAGAATTGTTGAGATGGAAAACAAACACTTTTCACATGGACCACATGAGACCTCCACCAAGGTAGTCCTCTCCTTCTCACATTAAATAAATAAAGACAGTGAACAGCTGAACAGACCGCAGCACCAGCAGCAACAACCATTAGGCCAAGGTATTATGAACGTCAAATGAAGTGTTAATCACCTTTCCTACAAAAATAATTCCAGTGAAAGATGCCTTAGCTCTCATTGGAATTCCTTAACCATATACAACTTTCAACAAACCAGAGCACAAAAACAGAAGAAAAGTTTCATTTGCATTGAATATATATTTGTAAAGTGAACTGAAAATCTGGTCATGGCTACTTTGAGATTAAATATTAGGGTATGTTACTCTTTGAGTATCATGTTGATCTTAATATTTTACTTAGAAATTTTGTATACTCATAGAAGATAGATGAAACTCTGTTTAGCATTATCAAAATTATGTATAAAACCATTAAAAACTTTAGTTTTTCTTTGCCAAAATAAGGATCTGTTGGAATTGCTATTTGGTATAATATAATGATATATATGCATATATATATTAATATGGCCAATCATAAGAATATGAGAGAAAAATGGTATATTAACCAAAGCATTAGTTGTTGTTTCTTAAGAAATACTTAGGCATTTATTGTACCAGTTAATACTTATGGCTTATTAAAAACATTCTAGCATGTAAAAACTCAAAACCATAATAACAAAATAGAAGACCTTGCAATAATGATTTTATAATATCTGAATTTTATTGCTTCAAAACCCTGTACTTATTTAGTAAAATTTATAACATAATAACTTTTATTTTTCTGTCATGAATCCTGATATTTTATTGCTAAAGATAGAAAATGGACTTCAAAATTATGAATATAGTATAAATGACTGAATTGAGTTCATTCGAAGAAAGATCTAAACATCCAAGGTAAAGGTACCACAATGCCTACAAATAAAATTTACTTCAACTGATAATTTGATTGAAGTCCATTCCTGAATAGTATTTCCAACTATTAAGTTTGTAATAAAATTTGACCTTGACTTCATGTATTGGTGTATTTTGGACCTGGAAGGTTCTCTAAGTAGGAAGGTTCTCCAAGTCGGAAGTTTTAGGTTACTGGAGATTATCATGTATTAAAATACAGATGGGTATCTGCTAAGAAAATGATACCAAGATTAGATTACTTATATTCTTACCTGGCTGAAAAATGGAAAGACTTCCATCAATATGACCAAATACAACTTTCCCCTTTTTTTGGGCATGCCATCTGAATATGCAGATATCAGACAAGAAGTTCTGAGCTTCTCTGTGCACAGTCACTCCATTGTCTGGTCCTGAGATGGTCCAGATGAACAGTGGACCTCGATGGGAAGCAAACGCCACAGCATCATCTGCATTCCAGCACCAGCAGAGAGAGGCAGGCATCCCTGGAATAAAAGAAACCCAGAGAACATAACAGAAACATGTGCCATGGATTATACCAATAATCACTGTGCATTTCTGAAATAAATTAAGATGTAGGATATGATCACTGCTTGAAAAATTCATTGCTTTATTACTTGGGAAACAGATATCAAATTATCCAAAGACTTCCAAAGATAGATGTAGGGAATATCCAATGTGAAAAGAAAAACATTTAGCTAGATTCAAGTATTATTCAGTCACCATATGCTTTATATAGACAAAGAAATTTGTAGAGATCTTTATTTCAGTAGAGGGTATGGTATGGTAATATATATTTAATGTCTGTTTATAAATACATCTCTAGGTATAATGATTGAATGGGATTGAATCTTGTAAATGATCCATTGAAAAAATGAAAAATATGAAAAGACAAATGCTATTCTACAAATGTAATAATAATAAACTTTAACAGTGAGGACAAACCATTTGTGTCATTTGAGAAGCTTAGATTCAAATCCTAGCTTTTTTGTAGATGAACTAAACAAATGATTTTCTGTTTACACCTGTTTCTCCATTGATAAAATGGGAATACCAATACAAATAGCTAATTGCATAATTAACATACTGTTCAGAAAAGAAAGCATACTAATGTATTTTTTAAACTGTAAAATTGGGTGCAAAATTTAATCGCTAATATTCCTGCTCTTGTTGTAAAGAAATAAATGTTATGTAAAATAAGTTTGATAGGAAGTTCATGAGTCAAAGCAGAAACTGGACTTTCTCAAGAGAGATATATTGACTATACTATATCAGAATCATCCACATGAATATAAGATATGAGATCATGTGGAGGTAAGGCCTAGAAATCTATTCTTAACAAGATTCTCCAACTGTGCAGAGAGATTTTGGGAACCAAAAAAAGAAATTGGATTTGAGTTAAATTTTGAAGGAAAAATAGAGAGTGGATAACAATAGAGCTTAAAAATACAGAATGGGTAACAATACCCAGAAAGGGAAAGTTGTACGAAGTTTCTGGCCTACAGTAAAGTTCAGTTTGTGCCAGTTGTCATAGCTCCAAGAGGCAGAAAATAGAAGTATCATGCTTAGATCAGGGTATGACACATCACTGAATCTCCCTAAATATTTGCTAAGTGAATGAATACATAAGTTCATAGTTAAGAACAATAATAAAAAAGCTGATGTTTTAGTATGTATTAAGAAAATCAGAATTTCTCAAGTAAAGAATTTTTCACAATCAAGTCACCATGGTGCAATTGGAGGGCAGTAAGAATGCTGGCTCACTGAATGGCATAGTAGACAGTGAGGAAAGTGAAGAACCAGAAACTTTATTGTGTAGTAACAATTGGAAATACTTTATGGGTGGCCTATTACAATTGCTTCTAAGCGCTCCAAAAGTAACAACATGTTTAATTCACTCAACAATATTTTAAAATATGTAGGAACAATAATTACATATTCTTATTCAAAATCTGGTAACAATTGCAACATCTATAACTAGGCAAACTAATACTTCTTTTACTTTAAATACATGGATTGTTTGATTGTTAGGGGAAAATGTCAAGAAAAAAATCAAAATCAAATTGTGTATATGGAAGGTGAAAAAGGGTATATATAATATAAATGACCAAAATTATTAATAATTTTTTCAATAAAATATCAAAATATTCAATCTTTAAACTAAAACCATATTTGGAAATAATATTTGAAAATTATTCAGTAATAATACAAAATTGTTACACTAATTATTCTACAACTGTTATGTAATTGCATATTCAGTGGTATGTGAAATTGCAGCACACATAAACAATGAAAGAAAATGTCTCTCACCATGTGATATGTAAAGTGTTTTATGATAAATCACTATCAAAAGTAGATGATAGTACAGTACTATGAATTCTAACCTACACTTCTAAAAAGCATCATTTCTGGTATAGAATATTTTTTTGCTGTTATGAGAACAATAATAGTTTAGTCTATTCACATAAAGTGTAAAACTAGTTTTAAATAGTTATGTTAAGATAAACCTCACTTTAAAACTGCATTTGAAGTATAGTTATCACAATGGACAATACTGGAATAGTTTAGCATTTTTGATTGGAAGAGACATAGAAAACATGGAGAAATAGGAAAACATCTTCTTTGAGACCACCACTGTAAAGATTCCACAAAGTTTACTGCTAAAAGTAATTCTGTTTTTTTTTTATTGATATACTGAAAACTCTACGAAAAACTGCTAAATATATTCACAGAAACTTTCTGAATAGTTCATTTCAAAATACTGTTTACTCAGATATTGGAATGGTTTTACTGTGTATTACTTTGGTTAGTAAAAGTGAAAATTTAAAAATCAGCTTATGTGATTTGGAAATGAAATTTATTAGTTAAAATTAATCTCATTTGGAAAATATATTAGCTCACAGTTGGGTAATTACTGATTTTTTAACATGACCTCATTCAAAAAAGACAAGACAAAAGCAAATGCTGAGTATGTTAAATATTCAAGGGTTCTAAAAGATATTAATATTACTATGGAAGTGACATTAAAGAAAATTGCTAGTGAATTGCAGCTAAATATTATAATTATAAAGAAATATAGAATACAATGAAGAATATGAGATTACTGAGTTTGATTTCCATCTCATCTTTTTATTTTTTAGTGAAACTGAATATAAATGTATACAGAAATGCTTTACAAAACCATCCATCATCAATAATTGAGCTATATTTATTGTTCGTAGAATAAATTATTGTGACATTTAACGCGGAAATGATTACTTAATTTTACTATCATTGTGGGATAAGACAGAGTAAGAATTCTCAATATTAAATTGAAAAATACAATATTTATCAAATTCAAAAGACGGTTTTTTCCTAAACTAGGAATTTCTGCCTTGACCAAACTACAATAAGATCACAAACTAGTCCAAATATATGCATAATATTGTCTTTGTTAAAAACTGGAATGAGGGCTGGGAATATAACTTAGTGGTAGGGTGCCTAGCATGCATGAAGCCCTGGATTCAATTCCTCAGTACTAAATAAACAGAAAAAGCCAAAGTGGTGCTACGGTTAGAGTGGTAGAGAGTAAAGAAAGCTAGGGACAGTGCCAGGCCCTGAGTTCAAGTCCCTAAGGCCAACAAAAAAAAATGGAATGGAACAGGCAAGGTCTGTTACTTGTTCGATGAAGACAGTCTTTTCTAATTATGATTTTATATTTATTCTGAAATGTTAATATTATACACAAACATTAATGACATTCTTTGGCATTGTAGGTTCTTAATTGTATATTCTAAGTATAATTATTTCAGAAAGTTACTTTTTGTTTGGAGTTCAAATATACATGAGTTATGCAAAATGTACTGGTTACTATCAAAAAGTTTTAAAATATTACTTTAATAAAGCTAACATGTTTATTAAAATAAAAGTATTTTATTCAACAAAGTAATATACCTTTTGCACTGTCGAGTTTAGCAATGGCTTTTTGTTCTGCAACATTCCAAATGATCAATAAATTATCGGTACTGCCACTTGCAAACAGATCGGGGTTATGTGGACACCAAGAGATGGCTGTGATTGTTTTTTTATGTTCAGACATAATTGAATGAAGTTTGAATTCATTATAACGGTGATCCAACTAAAACAAAATATATAAATGAAAGAGTTTAGTGCTCTTTTTTTAGGTACTATGTTATCCAATGGCAATCACAATTATACGAACAAAATCTACACGACAAAATTAGTTCACCTAATAATCCAGATGCAAATGCAAAGGAAGCCTTGGTTTACATTTAAATGTATTCAGTTTGTTGAAATAAACCATTTGGGAAAATATGAAACAATTACAAAACTATGTCCATTAAAATTAATAAATGTTTTACCTTTAAATATTAATATTCAGAGCTTCATTATATTTTGCATAGATAAATCTCTGGGGCATTTAAAAGCTTTTATTTTGGATTTTCTCCATAATTTTTCATTATATTTTAATTTAAAAATTATGTTAAAGAGATCAACTGCCCACTCTTAAATTACTAAGATGTCTTCTGCATCCACTATATAATGGACCATTGTGTGTGTGTGTGTGTGTGTGTGTGTGTGTGTGTGTGTGTGTGTGTGTGTGTATGTGTGTGTGTGTGTTAGTACGAGGTCATGCACTCAGAGTCTCTAGCTCTCACTCAGCTTTTTTGCTCATGGCTAGCACTCTATCATTTGATATACACTACAGTATTCATGGATTATTTGCAATTGTATAATTGTCCTGGGTCAATCACAGACCATTGGTATACTGTTTACTTGGGTATAAAGTTACATTTTCCTTTATAATTAGATGAAATGTATAGCCTATTTGTCCTATTTCACTTGTATGTGTACTTCCATTAAATAGATGATTTATTATCTTATAATGTTTTAGATGATATTGTATATATCATTTTGTGAGTGTCAGTCTTCTTCCGTTAACATATAAGGAACCTTTCATGATGCTGCTTAACTATATTTAAATCAATATATTCAATATAATAACATTTCTTTAAGCACACATTTGCAGTAAAGTTTTAAATTCTAATATAACTTTCAATTTCCTACAATAACCATCAAACATCTGTTCAATATCAAACTAATTTGATATCAAGTCCTTACTGTTTGTTCTGCACTTGTTTCTCTAAGGCAAACTTACTTTTGTGTTACAGACTTACACTTCCATTTCTCTTGACATCTAATGCAGATATTCATTCGCTTATTCATATCTGAGTTTAAAAGTACCTCTATAGAAAGATGACTTGAGATCTTGACCTTGTATCTAAACTCTAACTTTCCCCAAAGCCTCTCCCATGACTGTTGTGATTCCTGTTTTCTAGCCTTTGTCATATTTCCAGAAGCTTTTGTTTATGTCCTCATTTCATAGCCTCTCCATGTCCTCTGTTCTTATGAAAAATGTTTATAGTTGCATTTCCACTGTCAAGTAATTTTTTTTATCAGTAGAACAGACTCAGGGGATACTGAAAGAATAAACCCTCAAACTATTGTTTAGTGTTTTAATAACTTCTAATTTTTTCTATCACAATGAAAAATCTTTGTATATGAAATTTTAGCTAATGACCTAAGTATTTCTTTGTCTTTCTTTGTCTTCAGTTATATAATCTCTTTAATTTCTCCTGTAATTTCTTTGTCTTTCTATAACTTCAGCTGTTCTTGTACAACTGTGATGAAAACAATATTAAAAACAAATGACTGAGTATCATTGTTTTCATCTGATTAGCATTATGGTAGTAATCATTTTAAATTGGTCTATTTAAGTAATTTTATTTTCTGTATGGTTAGAAATAGTTCTTCAAGGGCTGGGATGTAGCTCAGTGGCAAAGCACTTGCCTAGCAAATACAATGTCCTGGGTTTCATCCCCAGTACCAAAAAAAAGAAAAGACAAAAAAGAAAGAGAGAGAAAAGAAATATTTCTTCAATTTAAAATTTAAGGCAACTTAAGTTATCTGTGGCAGATGCTGGAAACGGAACCAGTGTACATTAGAAAAAAAACTTCTACTTGTGTTAGAAATTCAGTAGAATTATGAAATAAAAATCCAGTTAAATAAAAATTATCAAACCATTTACAAATACCATTGAATAGTTCAGAAAAAGATAACATATTATGTCATTTTCTACAATGTGACAGGTTATCTAACTTGGACTATGCAGTGTACAGGGTAGCAGATTCTACTGATAAACATTTCCTCTGAAAATAATTGTAACATTTTCTATTTAAATCTGTTTAATTCAACACCTTTAAAAATAACAATATGTTAAATTGATGTAATGTCACCCATTTAGTAATATAAGTTCAATTACTGTATTTTGAAACAAGGTGCTATAGCAGGTACTGTATTAAACTCTCACCTGGTTTTATTTAACTTTTAAATAAAGTAAGTTTTAGATGGTTTCAGTTTAACGATATGCCAATGTGCTTCATGGGCTTTTTTTAAGGTTCAAAATTTTAGCTTAATCTTTCTATATCATTGTCATTAAATGTCATAAAATTTCGGATACATGCAATCTTGAAAAGAATTAGGTACTGCCTTCATTTACTGGGTTTCTTCCCATCTTTGCCTGATGAGCTCTTTGTTAAACGAGAAGGAAAGAAGAGAAGATAGGGACTTAAGAGTAGGGGCAAATTTTATAGGAGGAATTTGGTAAAGAAGCTTGTGCTACATGCAGAATACAAGCAGGCAAATGGGAAAGAAAGGAAGTATCTAGAAAGCTTGCTCCGGTCTTCTAGATGGAAAGTGAAAGAACGTAAGTTATACTAAACATACACTTCCATTACTACATATTGTAAATCTTGATGAATGGACTATATAAAATCTTATTCTATATTATGTAAAATGAATTATTTTATTAATTAATGTTATTATTTAATTGTCTATAAATTACAGCAGCATTAGAGTGATCAACTATTATGTTTTATTGAAAATTACATTACTTTAGGATGAAATATTTCCTTTGCTTAAATGAGGTGATGTTTTAAGTTTCTTTTAAAAACCTCATTTATTCAAGGCATTCAACTGATGCCTACTAAATGCCCAACAGCATACAAAACTTTAAGAACATAAAGAGAAAGACTCTGTAAATGGAACCATGTACAGAGGCATTCTATCTTTATGAGATGCTTCACAAGAAAGGAAAAAAGCAGAATATGTAACAGAGTTTATACCATTAATTTAAGATTTGAAAGATAAGAAAAGTTCTCCAAACATGCAGTACAGGCAAATCAAAAAATTAGAGAAAGCAAAAGTCAAGACATATAAGTCTGAAATGTTTAGAAAATGCAGATTGTTTGGCATATCGGAATGTTCCAAAGGATCATAAATGATCACATAGGATCCTCAAATTCATACTATAAAGTTTGGGCCATTAGTATTACAGATTGAGTAACAAGTAAAGATGTAAAAGTTAGATTTCCATTGTAGATGATTAAGTACATTGAGGGATAAATTACAAGGAGCCATTAGGGCAGAGAAACTATTACAGAAAATTCTGTAACACAACAAGTAGGAAGATATAAAGAAGATATTGAAAGATGCGAAGTACTTAGAATCCAGATTATAAAGGTATTGCATGTGAGCAGAAGACTAACATTATCTGGTGGTACTGAGTTCTTGACTTTGGGCTTAAGTAAAAAGACAAGATTTGGGGTCACGAAGCTCTTGGCTTATCTATAAAAAGGAATTCAGGAGGCCACTGACCCTTTTAATTAGGAGCTAGTAAGAATGACTGAATGCAGCTAGGTGTTTACACCAATGTAGTTAAAAAGGTTTTCTTTTCCTCCTAAAGAATACCTCAAAATATAGCTGAAGTAATTTTGATTATTTCTAATAGGCCATCTACATTTTTCATCTGGTAAGATAATTTCTTCCTGTCAGATTTACTAATAATATAAACATTTTCAAAAAGTTTTAAAACTCAAATATAATAGAAATAACAAAAATAAGTAAATAGAATGCCAATATTGACTAAGTTCTAACTTTTCATGTGACAGTGACTGAAAACAAGTATTAAACAACTCATCTATTGTAATAAACAACCAGAAATAATTAGTATTATTTTACCTGGTAGATGTAGATGGCCAGCGTTGCACAATACGCAAACCTGTCTCCACTGGCAGCACATACATCTTTGTTCCATGGCTGACATCCGGCAGCCAGCAATCCCACTTGCCTTACCTGGGACATGTTTGCCTTTAAAAAAATTTTGAGGAAATGTCCGTCATTAGTATTATTTGATACATTTCTTCATCACTTTACATATTTCCTCAATGCTTGTATGCTCTGAAAAAAGAATCTGCTAGTATTTTTAAACTTAACTTCTATTTTCAGAGAAAAGCAGGTGAAGGTCCAAATGTATAGACCTCATGGCAGGCAATTCCAGTTAGGAGAAGGAAATGGTTCTAAAAATAACTGGTTATGTAGACTCCAAGCCAGGCTGGGAAATGTACAAGATATGATGGGACTATAATGAAAGAAAACGCGCATAGCCTCTCTAAATGATTTTATTTCTATGAAAGCCATGCTATGATGCCAGATGGGTGCCCCATCCCCCACATTGAAAGATCCTGAATTTTCTGGGATATGTATCAATTTACATTATTGGCGATTCATTCAAGGCAGCAAATTCAAATTTGAAATCCTATGACCCAATGTTGCGAGATGTGAAAATATCTTAGAACTTCATGGCTTTACAGCGACTGTTCATCCCCATAAATAAAAGCTACATGAAGTGCATTAGACAGATATACAAGCTGTGTTAAAAATATTCCTTATTGTTAGGAGAGGATAGAAGAAATCTGAAAAGTAATTTATATCTGAATAAAAATGACTTTTATTCAAAAATCAATGATGTTAAAGTAAACAACTCCAGAATGAAGATGGTATAATCAGCAGAAACTGCCCACGGCTGAGACTGAATGAGTAAGAAACAAGACTAAGCCATGCACAGGATGGACTGGAGGCAGGCACTTAATTTTAGGCCTCTTATTTCTTGCACTGAAAATATAGCTTGTGAACCTCATTTTCTACAAGATTCCTCTCAATTAATCTATGTATAAACTAAATTCTCAGACACTGAAAAAAAGGAATCACATAATGAGGCTGTTGATAAGTCTATGATCATATAGAAAACATCATTATCGAAAATCTTAGGCAAAATACCTATCTATGCAGAGTATTACACTACATAGTTATCCAATGAATAATAGTCAAGAAAAAATATTGTCAATAAATTACTGACAAAAAGTTTTAAAGCTAGAATCCAGACGATCATTAGCTTCTTTTCTCAGAGGAAACTTTTAATGCAGTAGACAGTCTAAACTTGCACTATCAATTTATCTCTTGTTCAGAATCCATTTTTCATTAGTAGGAACTTCATACTTTATTTTAAAATAGAAAATGCACATAACCTTAAAATATTTTATTCTGAGAAATTAAATTAAAAAATAACAGACATAATTAACTTTCAGTCCATACTTAGTGTTGACCAAATATTCAAACTATCCTACGAGCCTTATCTTAATGTCAAACACATCATCTGTAAAATGATCACATGCAAAACACACACACACACACACACACACACACACACACACACACAGTGCAAGTCACAGTGCAAGTCACCTGACCATTTGTTCAGTATAGTCGATGGAGTTTTCTATTCAATTTAGCTACCTTTCTAATGTATTACCCAGGAGCTTAAATGTGCTATCTTGAATTAATAATAACTAGTATTTCAAAAAATTAACTTTTATTATCTTCTTCCTTTTCAGTATTGGGGGAATCATGTAATGATAATAAACCGTCTCTCTTCTTCCTTTTAATGCTCATCAATTAGCAAATGATTATATTTTTCCCAGTGGATCATTAGCCTTTGTTAATTTAATTTATAAACTACATCCTTTTTTCCTTATTTGCTATTTCAATATATCCACCACAGGAATATAAAGTGAATTTATAAGTTTTCTTCTGTAGATGACACTGAGTAATACTGAGTACAACATAAAAAAGTTACTATATATCATTAATTGTGTATGTACACCATACTTAAAAATACTTCATCATGTGTTCAAGCAACTGTTAGTATTTGAAATACCTAGGATTTTTATGCACAAAGATTACAAAATACATTATACTACTATTGGTTTCATTAAGTGTTATCTATTCTTGCCAAAAAGATAAAATGAATGTCCCAAAGCATTTGTTATGTTTATTGTTGGCATGACCAAATGAATGACTGCATTGCTGAAAATTAAAAAAATATTCAATTGAAGGTACATTAATATATATGTATATACATACATTTGTGACAAGTAATATATTTCAGATAATTATTATAAGCCCTTTATCATCTTCACTTCAGAATTATAATCTGTGAATGACTTGAGTTTCTATGTGTGTTTGAAACATTTGTTCCTTCTGAAATAATCTTTTTTTGACCTAGAAATAACATATTTTACTGAAGAATTACTAAGCATTCAAGCTCACTGAATAATACATAAATATCAAATAGAGTCTATATTTCTTCTTGCTCAAGTTTTGGTCACTCCCTGTACAGATATAGGTATAAATGAAAGATCTCATTCTAAATAAAAATTGCTATGTGGATGTTGGCATTAGTTTCTTCTAAAAAATCCAACCTCTTATTCTTCAGGTTATGTGTAAATATAACTATATTCTTCTGAAATCACCATTTGGCATACAAGACTTTTTGAATATCTTTAAGTTTTACAAGAAGAAATAAATTAGATTTCTATGCTAAACACAAATTGGAAACGTAATTTTGAGAAATTATATTCAGATCTCAAAATCAGGAATTCTGGTTTTAGAGCAAAGAGGGAAAGATTTTGAGCCCTTATAATCTCCATGAATTGCTCCAAGTCACTTTAAAATAAAATATATTTTATTAAAAGATGCTTCCCAAATTAGACTATTCTCTATATCTTTTCCTAATGGAGAAGCACATAGACCACACTTAAAAAAAAAAAAAAAAAAAAAAAGCCTTATGGTTAAACAGCCAGGCACAGCTGGTGGCTCATACCTGTAATCCTAGCTACTCAGGAGTGTGAGATCTGAGGATAGTGGTTCAAAGCCATCCCAAGCAGGAAAGTTTGTGAGACTCTTTTCTCCAATAAACTACTCAAAAATCCTGAATTGGAGTTGTGACTCATGTGGTAGAGCACTTGCCTTGAGCAAAAGAATCTTAGTGACAGTGCCCAGACCCAGAATTCAACCTCTAGGACTAGCAAAAAGAAATAAACAACAACAACAAAAAAACCCAACAACTTTAGGAATGTACTTGCCACTATATTTTACATTAGTTGTAAATTACAAACAAAAGAGTGTGTCAGTTTTAAATTCACAAACTGAAACATTGTTTCATCATTTATGGATAAGGTTGGAATTTAGAATGGAAAGCTAATCACTAAATCTCAGTCTCTTTAACTGAAGGGTGCCTTAGGGTTCACGGTATGAGTATTACTCTCCAGATTTAGATATCATTGTCTGTAGATACTTTTACCAACTTATAAAGAAAAAGAAAAGGAATTTATCTGGAAAAAAATTAAAAGCCCAAGATATGCTATGCACTGCTGAGTATTCATAATTAAAAACGACTATCCTAATGAGAAAATATCTGTGATTGGTATGATCACAAAGCACAATTATGATGATAGAAAACAGAGAAGGGAAAAGGAAGGAAAATGAATTACTGCAAATCTTCAGAAGCATATGTCCTTGAATAACAATGAGGAAAATGTGGTCAAACTGCACAGACTTATTCTGGCTCTTTCCTTCACAAGTTAAAGAAAAGAAAACACGACACAATCTTCATTTATATACTAATAAGTTCTCCATTTAAAAGGTGAACTAGGAAAATAAAACTTATTTTTCTAAACTAAATCAAATTCAATGCCGTACATTTTTAAAAAGTTTTTTTCTCTTACAATAATAAATTAGAATACTATTTTCAAAAAACTATACCAGAGTTGCCATGGCAACAATGTAATTACTTCTGATATAATTAATTGATTTAGAATTTATCAGATGCAATAAGTTTCAAGTTTTGGCATTTCCTTTATAATGTTATAATTGCTGTTAGAATATATTTAATTAAATGTTTTATTTGTGCCAAATAATTTTCTTGGAAGTATTGCTATTTTCATGACTGATGAGTCTTTTACAAAACATTACTTATGAAACATACCTAAATCCAATCTAAAAACATTATTCCCGGCGCCCCCCACCCCCCCAGACTGGGGAGAGGGGAAACAACCTTTTCTTCAATATATAATTACAAATAACCTTATCAATCATCATCTTACTTCTACTTTTTAAATTATCTAATACTATCATAGTTACCCTCAGAATTCTGTACTGCAAATATGTCCACACAACAATGATAATATAGCTGCATGAGAATATAGCAGAGCATGAAAAAAATCACAGAACACCATAATTACAACATAAATAAATCTCTTACTCTTTGTAGTCCTTCATACCAATCATCTTGCTCAAACCAATGTGAAACGTAAGTCATCCAAGCCATAGAATGTTTCTATTTTAATCAAGGCAATTGGAAACTCGCCATCAGAATAGTCGGCACCTAAGGTAACAATGATGTATTTCAGCCAAAGAAGCTTTCTCAAAACCTCCTCTGTGAAATGATGTTCAGGACAAGGAATTAATACTGCACAAACATTTCAGCTAAAATAGTTTCAATAATTTACAAATAATATTTGCTAAAAGAATGCTAAATCTGAAAATAAAAGCCCATATTCAATTACAAAAAAATTAAATAATAATTGTTATAAAGTTCCACAGAGTACTGTACAAAATATTTTATCAGTTGTTAGCTTATATTCCAAAAAGTATCTTAAATTTGCTTCTGCAATAACTTGGTAAGTAACTTCTAAAATTACTGAGTTAAAAAAGTCTACAAAAAGAAATCTAAAAGAGAACGAGATGAGATCTTTCACCTTTAGGAGTTAGACATAAAGTTAGAAACTGAAAGCTCTTAGGTTAAAAAGTATACAATGATAATGTCAATCTTTTTATTTCTGTTTATTTCTGCTCATTAACTTGAGAGTTTTACACTTAGCTATTATTCATCACCTAACTGCCTCAGAAAATTTAGAATCATATCACTAAATATGCCAGTATGTTGAACAACAAACAAAAACCATATGAATTTTATTCACTCTGGAAGAAATCACTTACTAACTATTGTAAATAAAAATGTCTAGCCATACAGGAGAATACTTATATTTCAAAATATTTTCTATGACATTAAATGCTTTGAACATATTATCAGGTTCAAATTCATCTTTATCTGACCAAATTCTTCAAACTGGTCTGTTACTGGAGATCAAAAGAAAGAAGGACAAATAAAGGAACAAAGGAGGGAAGGGATAAAGGAAGAAGGGAAGGAAAAATAAAGAATAAAAAGAGGGAAGGGAGCCAGGTGCAAGTGGCTCAAGCCTGTAAGCCTCGCTACTCAAGAGGCTTAGATCTGAGGATCAGGTTCGAAGCCAGCCCAAGCAGGAAAGTCTGTGAGACGCTTACCTCCAATAAACTACTCAGAAAAAGCCAGAAGAGGCTGCGGGACAGAGCCCAGGCCCTGAGTTCTAGCCCCAGGACCAAAAAAAAAAAAAAAAAAAAAAAGGAGGGAGGAAGGACTGAAGGAGGAAGGACAAAGAAGTAGAAGGAACAGGAGAAATGAAAGAAAAGAGAGAGAGACTATGGAGGGAAGAAGGGAAAAGGGTGAAAGAAAGAAAGGCAGGGAGAAAAGATGGGGAATGGGAGAGAAAGAGACAGCGCAATTTGAATGGTTCCCCCTTCATATTATAAAACTAAAATACCTTTGTCCTAGCACATAATACACTTGTGCGAAATGTATTAGTGTAACTATTTATGAAAAGTGTTATCTCCACTGTGATTCATTATTCTTTACAAGTATTTTTGATAACACTTTCTTGAAATACTAGGGAGTGGACTCTTCTACAGGTAGCATCTGGTATGGGAACATTAGCTGAATTTCTTTATGTTGTTTTTTATCTTTCTAGAATCTAGATAATGTCTTCTCTACCCTAGCCTTCTAGTTTTATGCTTTTCTTTTTAAAGCCTATCTGATCATAGTAATGGATGCTCATCTGCTCCTACCTTATTCTACTCCTCTTTTTTTGTCTCTCATCTACTACTTATCCAATTTGATATTCAATTCTACATCTAAGTCCTGTCAAATGCATTTCTACTCTATTTTGAAAGTAGATGTAGCATTGGCCCAACTGCTCTAATGATGTTTCCACTTCTTTACTGATTACAGTTTCTCTCCTGATCCACTTAAACTTGTTTACCCATTGATAAAGCTGAACTGAATACAGAACATAATTATAAATGATACATGCAATCATCGAGTTCTATCCTTAGAATTTTTAGTTATTGTAAGATAGCAAGATTTGTATTTTACATTGCTTATAATTAAAAGAATACTCATTGGCATATGTAACAGAATAAGAGAAACCAAAAAATAAAAAATAAAAGAAAGAAAATGTCTTGTCAAGAAATGTACTCATTACCTTACTCATGTAACTGTAACCCCTCTGTACAGCATCTTTACAATAAAAGAAAAAGAAAAAAGAGAAAAAGAAAGAAAGAAAATGTCATAGTGTCACTCAAAATAAGGCCTCAGAATCAACATTGTAATCTAAGAGTTTGCATAAAATACAAAAGATACCATAACTATTCTAATATGCACTATGTAAAAGGAATTATACAGATAAAGTTAGACACTGACAATTAAGGTATTGAAATAAGATTTCTATCAGTGATGGCAATGGTGATACATAACTGATCCAGATATAATCTTAGAGGACTATCCACAAAATATAAAAAGGTATTCCAGTTGGTAACAATAGGTACTATGTGAAAGATACTAAACAGTGTTTTAGTTGAACCATCCACAATGCTGCTGGACATTTAAAGAAGGCTTTTTCCCACAAATTCTGTACAAATTTACAGTGTTGTTGCTACTATATGCATTCAACTTAAAAACAAAAAGATTAGAAAGTAATAGATCTCTTCCACTATATTCTGGAAGTCTGTCCAAAGAACAACAAAACAACAACAAAAAGTCTTCCACACGGTATGGAGAAACAGAGTTTTGCTTCATTTTTCATTTTTGTTGTCAAGATTAAAGTGAAATGTTTAGAATTATTACACACAGGGAATGAAAACTCATGGTAAATATATTTAAGTATTTAACAAAGCAACAATCCAACACATAGCCAAAAATACTTCTCAGTTTTAGATACTAGGTATTTAGGAAAATTTAAAAGACAATGATAAGAATGGATTTCTCATTTATAAATATAATCAAAAGACAGTTGTTTATCTTGCTATTTAAAAAGAGTTAGACTCAAAATATAACGAAGAATTTGAATAAAAACGTTAATTTGTAAACAAACATGAAAAAACACATCATGAGACAAGTTTTTAAATATTAATATTTGAAACTATCTATGCAAATAACTAAATGGCATACTAGTTAAACGTCCATAGGAAATGAAATGTTTTTAATGTATTTACATTTTTAGAACTTCACCAATCACTTCTCAAGTCATTCATTCATTCAATAAATATTTACTGAGTAGTAGTCTATATAAGACAAGTATGAAGGAAGAAAACACTTATCACAACCAGTGAAAGTCCCATCTGGCTAGCACTTTAACTCGTATAGGAGAGAATCCATAGGTGACCAAAAGAAATAAATAAATGATATACAAGAGAACGCTTGATGTCAGAAAACAATAAGTATAGGGAAAGACAATGAGAGGTTTTGACTCAAGGTCTCCTATTATAGTCTTTTAAAATCACATCACATTTGGTACTGACCAAACATCTGAAAGGAAATGGGAGGTCAAAACATAATCATTTCTGTTCAAAATGTCTGCTAGACAGAGGGAGGAACAACAGCAAATATTGTGGTCTTGTTTCTAGAAATTTAGTAATGATGTATGAAATGTGTCAAAAAAGGTCAGATATTTGAGGAGGTAGAGATTCAAGAATATTGTGTTGAAGCCGGGCGCTGATGGTTCACGCCTGTAATCCTAGCTACTCAGGAGGCTGAGATCTGAGGATCGCGGTTCAAAGCCAGCCCGGGCAGGAGAGACCGTAAGACTCCTATCTCCAATAAACCACCAGAAAAACCGGAAGTGGCTCTGTAGCTCAAGTGGTAGAGCGCTTGCCTTGAGCTGAAGAGCTGAGGGACAGCGCCCAGGCCCAGAGTTCAAGCCCCATGACCGACAAAAAAAAAAGAATATTGTGTTGAACTCACCTTTATAATATTTGGGATTTTTATAATTTTCTAAATAAACAGAAATGTATTAGCTTTATTATGAAAATACATCACTAGAATCAATGTATAAAGTTTGACTGTGATCGGAGCCTTGCCACAAATATTTTATATAATGATATAATTGGCATATAATAATTGTCTCAAAAAAACTGAAAAGTATAAAAATTGGAAGGAAATTTTAAAGTATCAGCCATTTGATCCCTAACAGAAAATCTTCCTATTTAAAAAATCTGTAATTTGAAATAAGCAATATTATTCTCACTGTAATATATAGTCATATTTATTATGATTAATTAAAAAAATCTCACTTTGACTTGAGGTGTTTTATTCAAATAATTCATAACACAATTGTGCATCAGAATCTAGGGGTAAAGAGTTGTTAGTATTACCCCCTGATGAGTCATATGCACAGTAAAATTTAAGAACGATTGTCTCAATGAGATAATTTAGCAGAAAAACTATGTATAACATCTTCTATTAACATAGATTAATCTCATACATTTCTGTTATTCTTGAGTCTAATTTTTCCATATTTAGCATAATGTTGTATCTACGCATTCTCACTATGTGTCAAATGGTAATGTTCTTAAAAGATTAGCTGGTAAAATGGGTCACAGTAAGTACCGTATTAGCCTACATTAAAATTCTAAATTAGGTAACATGTAGAAAAGACCACTGTTATTATAGCAGTTTTAGTCTAAGCTTGCAAAATAACCATTTACACCTATCCAGATTCCAATTTAGTCAGCAAAACCTGGGATTTTTATACAAAATTAAGGGCTGTAAGACAGAATAGTAAAAGATTGATTCAAAAACATTACAGCTGTTTTCACCATCCATCTACATAAACTCATCTTTACACTTTCCTATATTTTAACCACTAAAAACAGATTTGTTTGAACTATGGTGTTATCTTGGTCTTTGGAAGATGCAATCACAAAGATTGCATCTTTGTGATGCAATATGGAAATACTGTTTGACCTGACTGCAGAAGTAATCTACTTTGCTTAAACAAGCTTATTCACAATACCTTCAGTGTGACCAATCTGAGAGTCAGGCAAAGAAAAATGGAGGTGAGAGAAATCACATATTCGATTGTAAAGTAAGATGGGAGAAGTTAAATATGTTATTGACAGAAGAGTATGAAATAAAACCAGTATTTGTCATAAAAGATACGGGATTGTTTCTTACATAACGCTTAATGAAAAAAGAG